GTATATATAGTGGTCCATACTATCTAGGGTTGATAATGTATATATAGTGGTCCATACTATCTAGGGTTGATAATGTATATATTATGTATATAAAATGTATATATAGTGGTCCATACTATCTAGGGTTGATAATGTATACATAATGTATATATAATGTATATATAGTGTTCCATACTATCTAGGGTTGATAATGTATATATAATGGTCCATACTATCTAGGGTTGATATAATGTATATATAGTGGTCCATACTATCTAGGGTTGATAATGTATATATAGTGGTCCATACTATCTAGGGTTGATAATATATATATTATTTGTCGTCAAATTGGATGGTTTTCGGTTTACAGTCTTGCGTCACATTATATAATTTTGTAATCTTTATGCATGATAACTTTTAGCGTTTTTCGAAGAATTTAATTTTCAAAATATTCAATCTTTATTAACCATTCATGTCGTAATATAGGGTCAATTACATTTTTTCTGTTAATTGTAAATAATATTTCTTTTCTTTTCTTTTTTTCAACTTTACGCTTTTTAAATGATATCTTTTAGTCCTTGACCCAATTCTGAATTCTAAATTGTCGTTAAAAAAATGGAAGTGTATATTTAGAGAAAGTAGAATCTACTGTTGATGCTTTCAGACTGCTTAGAAACACATCTTTATATAAGGCTTTTTTGACATAGATACAGGAGTAAAATTATATGTTTCTAGGTTAGCTGGGACACTTGCTTCATGCTTCTTTTTCTTCACTGCAGTTTTAGCGTTTTACGCAGCAATTTATTACAGAGTTTATTATTAAAGTAAATTCATAAGCTTTAAATTTTGACCATAAACAGATCGGTTTGGTCAGAAGGCTAGACTGACCAAGGGTTTCCAGCGAAAGAAACTTTCACAAAAAAATGCGAACATGTCTTTTTCGTTTGAAGGTGTTTTGATTTCATATTATTTGAAAAAAAACTAACTTCATCCGAACCGAAGGTAGGTTTAGATAATAAAACAGATGCGGAATTTCGGACGAGATTGTGTTCTCTTTTCTCCGGTTCCCTTCCTCAAGAACCTCAACTGCAACTATATTATCAAGTGGCTCTACATCTGTCTATTGGCACGATGGTTCTAAGAAAGAATGAGACAATTATTCTCTTTCTCTAGATTGCATTGAGTTTTGTCCAAAAAAATCCGAATATAAATATTTATTTTCGGCGATTTCTTGAATAAAAAACAGCTGGCAAAACTAAGTTTTATGCCAAAATTATGGAAAATGAACCTTTATGGAAACTGTACTAATGGCAAGTGTAATATAAAGCAAACGCGGGCGAATTAAATATGTCGTCCATGTGCAATCTTAAAACTAAAACCTAAACAAAAAAATTATGTTCTTTATGATTACCCAACTGCAGGGGTAAAAAAGACCTCCCCCCTGTCACTTTTTTTTGACATACATACTTATTGCTTTAATTTCTTCCAGTGATAATTAATATAAATAAAACTAATACAATGCTTTAAATTTTTTTAGAAAGCCCCCTCTCCATTTCATACAATTAACTCTCCACCCTTGCCTGTCAATAAATAACGTAACGTCTGAAAACACATGTTCTGTATTGCGATGAATTTAAGTTAAAAATACTTGATTTTAACAAAATTTTAGGAAACTAGGTTTTTAGGGCGCTTTCGCACATCTTCTATTTTAATTGTGAACATTTTCTTTTGTATACATTCTAAAACAAAATCAAATAAAAATTCAAGGATTTTATGAAAAAAATTAGAGGCAAATTTTTGAAAATTCTATCATACTAAAACCTTCCCTGGGGTCACGTGATGTCCCACACAACATTTTGGCCCGATCGGTTCAGCCGTTTTGACGTTTATTGGATACAAACAAACAGATAGACAGACAAGCAAAGTATGTATATATAGATAAAAAGGACAAAATGCACGAAACAAAACGTAGACGTCGTTTTTTTAAACACGTCTAAAACTTAAAATGTCAAGCCCTACCCACGCACCTCTGACCCTTCAGTAAAAGTAAATTCAACCTAAAGTCTGACCGCGTCAACCTTGTTGCACCGGCTAGTCCTACTGAGTGTCTGCTTTATTTACCCGGTCCGGTCGATACAGAACAAACTGGGACCGGAAAGGTTGACCCGGCTTGGAAATTCAAATGTACGGCTCACCGCACCGTTTCAACTTTTGTCAAACTGATAATTAAGTCAAAAAAGGGACTGTATTCAATTTTAAAGTGGCTTTTCCGATTCCTCCCGGTACCCGGTAAACCTTTCTTTGATCATGGGATGAATGAGATATCCTTCTTTTTCTAGCTAGCATTAGGACACTAGCTGAAGTGTCTGACGTTGCCCGTGAAATTTTTTTTAATCGAATTTTTGAAGAAAACTATTTTTGATTCTTTAAAACATTTTCTTTTGATTTTTGAAAAAAAATCATTTTCTACCCCCGGGTACATTTCAGCCCATTTGGTCCAGAGGCGTTTAACCAGCTATAGCTGACACATAATTAAATATATATGAGCTAAACGCTTTATTTTACAGATTACCCTGTTAAAGTGTTCACTGTTCATATGAAACAAAAATCCCTTTTCATTTCGCTCAATTCTGTTTTTTTTTATTATTGTTCAAACACCTTTTTTTCGGGAAACTTTTGATCACATAGATTAGGACAACAATAAAAAGTTGCCAAAATTCGTCTGCGTCAGTTTTGAAGTGTCTTAACACTTTTGCCTTTTACTTTACTTGCTAACTCAGTCACACTTTTTTGCAATCCTGCATTGTAGATGCAGATTTGAGAACAAAAACCATTTGTGTTCAAATTAAGTTTGAAAGAAGCAATGACCAACATTATGATCGATTTAGTTCTAGTGAGATCTTTAGATGATAAAAAATTTACAAAACTTTTAAGCAAACGGAAAAATATGATATTTTGCTACCTTTAGATGACTGAGCTACAGTTGACATCATTAAAAGTTACGGCATCGCAAATTCGTACGAGCAATTCTTCACATTAGAATGCACTTTGTACACACTTTGAGATTGAAGTACATATATTGATTCACTTTATGTACAGGGTTACCCACAAAGGATTAGACTTCAGAGACGATTGTACGGAATTTGCTTTGTCCGCGTTTTTGCATTGCATTATTCCGTGTAGGCCAAAATCATCAAAATACTCAATTGAATGCAGAAACCAAAAATAAAGCTTCGAATCGCCATATTTTTAGAGTTTTGGGTTGTCCTTTACAGTATCATCCTCTGTGGGTAACCGTGTAGATATTGTATAGCTAAAACTAAGCTATAAATAGTAAAATATATATGTTTCTACATTCTTGAATCTCAGATCACTAAGTTTACCCATGAAAGAAAGCATGTATTCTTCTTTTTAAATTCTAGAAACACTAAACTGTCATTCCAGGGCTTTGGGGCAGGATAAAGTACACAGGGATGATCGAGATTTATAATGCTTGAAACGGAACTGTATGAACTGGGAAAAATCTAGCATTACACAAATGGTGGATGGACAATTATTATTTTTTCAAAACTTGTTTTAAAATTTTTGGAAAGTTTCAAAACAATTAATCTGAGCAGTTGTCGTTTTAGAAAAATTACAAAACGATCGATTTGAAAAGCTGTTTTTAACTGTGTGCTTTTGGAAAACTTCAAAACGGTCGTTAATAAACGGGTCGTTTTGGAAAATTTCTAAACAGTTGTTTTAAAAGTTGCCGTTTTGAAATATGATAATTTTTTGTTTTAAAATGGAGAGCAATCCTTTTTGGTTTCATAACGGAACAGTACTTTTTCCTTTTGAATGATATATACTTTGGAGAAAATAACTCAGCGGGAGCGGTTAAATGAGCGGTTGAGATCTAGCCTAGACTCTACACAGTTCAGAATAAAAAAGCGCTTTTTTTTCTCAAATTTAAAATTTGTTCAATCAATAAATTCATTTTCTTTCCACCACTGGTTTTAAAATTTTTCAGCAACTTTTTTGCTTTCAACCGCTGGGTTTAAGATTTTTCAGCAACTTTTTTGCTTTCAACCGCTTGGTTTAAGATTTTTCAGCAACTTTTTTGCTTTCAACCGCTGGGTTTAAGATTTTTCAGCAACTTTTTTGCTTTCAACCACTGGGTTGCTTTAACCACTAGAAAACAGTTTTTTATAAAAAGATTTTCTTTTAACAACTGGTTTTAAGATTTTTTTTAACAACTTTTGCTTTCAACCGCTGGGTTTAAGATTTTTCAGCAACTTTTTTGCTTTTAACCGCTGGCCTGTTTTAACCACTGGAAAACAGTTTTTCATAATTTTTTTTCTTTTAACAACTGGTTTTAAGATTTTTTAACAACTTTTTTGCTTTTAACCGCTGGGTTTAAGACTTTTCAGCATCTTTCTTCTTTTAAACCTCTGGGATGCTTTTATACACGGGAAAACAGTTTTTAATGAAAAACGTTTTCTTTTAAAAACCAGTTCTAAGATTTTTCAGCACCTTTTTTCTTTAAACCGCTGGTTTTTAGATTTTTCAGCAACTTTTTTGCTTTCAACCGCTGGATTTAAGATTTTTCAGCAACTTTTTTGCTTTCAACCACTGGGTTACTTTAACCACTGGAAAACAGTTTTCCATGAAAAATGTTTTCTTTTAACAACTGGTTTTTAGATTTTTTAACAACTTTTTGCTTTCAACCGCTGGGTTTAAGATTTTTCAGCAACTTTTTGCTCTAACCGCTCTGGTTTGCTTTAAACACAGGAAAACAGTTTTTCATAAAAAATTTTTTCTTTTAACAACTAGTTTTAAGATTTTTAACAACTTTTTTGCTTTCAACTGCTGGGTTTAAGATTTTTCAGCAACTTTTTTGCTTTCAACCGCTGGGTTGCTATAACCATTGGAAAACAGTTTTTCATAAATGTTTTTTTCTTTTAACAACTGGTTTTAAGATTTTTTAACAACTTTTTTGCTTTCAATCACTGGGTTTAAGATTTTTCAGCAACTTTTTTTGCTTTAAACCTCTGGGATGCTTTTATACACTGGAAAACAGTTTTTAATGAAAAACTTTTTCTTTTAAAAACCAGTTCTAAGATTTTTCAACACCTTTTTTCTTTAAACCGCTTGTTTTTAAGATTTTTCAACAATTTTTTTGCTTTTAACCGCTGGGTTTAAGATTTTTCAGCAACATTTTTGCTTTCAACCGCTGGGTTGCTTTAGCCACTGGAAAACAGTTTTTCATAAATAATGTTTTCTTTTAACAACTGGTTTTAAAATTTTTTAACAACTTTTTTGCTTTCAACCGATGGCTTTAAGATTTTTCAGAAACTTTTTTTCTTTCAATCGCTGGGTTGCTTTAACCACTGGAAAACAGTTTTTCATAAAAAAAAGTTGCTGAAAAATCTTGAAACCAGCAGTTGAAAGTAAAAAAGTTCTGAAAAATCTGAAAACCAGCGGTTAAAAGCAAAAAAGTTGCTGAAAATCTTAAAATCAGCGGTCAAAAATTAGTAAGTTGCTGAAAAATCTTTAAACCAGCGGTTGAAAGCAAAAAAGTTACTGAAATATCTGAAAACGGTTGTAAGTAAAACAGTTGCTGAAATGTCTTTAAACCAGTGGTTGAAAGCAAAAAAGTTGCTGAAAAATCTGAAAACCGGCGGTTGTAAGCAAAAAAGTTGCTGAACAATCTTTGAACCAGCGGTTGAAAGCAAAAAGAGTTGCTGATAAATTTGAAAACGGTTGTAAGCAAAAAGTTGCTGACGAATCTTGAAACCAGCGGTTGAAAGTAAACAAGTTCAGAAAAATCTGAAAACCAGCGGTTGAAAGCAAAAAAGTTGCTGAAAAATCTTAAAATCAACGGTTGAAAGTTAAAAATTTGCTGAAAATCTTTAAACCAGCTGTTGAAAGCAAAAAAGTTGCTAGAAAATGTTAAAACCGGCGGTTGTAAGCAAAAAAGTTGCTGAAAAATCTTTAAACCAGCGGTTGAAATCAAAAAAGTTGCTGAAAATCTGAAAACCAGCGGTTGAAAGCAAAAACGTTATTAAGGAAAAATTATATTTCATTTGTTGAAAATGTGAACGAAAAAGTGCGATTTAGCGGTTGAACAAATTGTAAATTTCTTATTAATTCTTTATTCTGAACTGCGTAGAGTCTATGCTAGATCTCAACCGCTCGTTCAACCGCTCCCGCTGAGTTTTTTTCTCCAAAGTATATATCATTCTTTCCTTTTTCTGTTTCAAAACAATATTTTTGTTTTCACTTCAAAACCGAAAACGATGTTGATAAACTTCTTACTCCGGAGACTTTAACCATCTCATCCCTGGATTTATATTGATAAACATAATAATGACCAACAGAAAATCTTTAACTCTGGTGATCTGAAAGTTAAGCACGGTCTTCAAGGGCTACTTCCCAAGTGACATTTTCCCAAGTGGCATCTTTCTAAATGTGCAATTTTCCAAACGGCAACTTCCCAAATGTCAGGTTAGGACCTTTGAAGCGCCACAGGCTGCAATGGGGGCTAAGCGCTGTGGCTAGGATGGGCTAGGGGGAACTGTGGTACCAGTACAAACGTCGGACGGTAGAAACATAAGACTTACAAACGTCGGACAGTACAAACGTCGGACTAGTACAAACGTCGGACCAGTACAAACGTCAGACCAGTACAAACATTGGACAAGTACAAACGTCAGACTGGTACAAACGTCGGACCAGTACAAACGTCGAACGGGTACATTTATAAGGAAAAACGTCGGACTAAGGAGGAAAAAATATATTTGAATTTTCAGATTAACATTCTTGTAAATTCGCAATTTTCTCTCAAAAAATTTCTCAACTTTGTTTGTTAAAAATTCATAATCTCACAAAGTCTGGATACATGGACGAGGAGACTGCTAACTATATTGAGGTCAAGTTCGTCAAGCAGGGGGGACGGCACCTACTTGATTCAAGTCAGTTTGAATATAGGGTTACAAAGAAGAAACCCAACAAAGCCTATTACCAATGCATTCAAAGGAAAAACAATTCTTGAGAATGACAAGATTATCAGTTTCCTGGGAGAGCATACACATGACAGTGATCTTTTGAAGAAAAGAGTCCGTAAAATAGAAAAACAAGTAGTTAAAGAAAGCTCTGGAAATATAGCAATAAGTCAGGTTGCAAAGATATAGGGATTAAACTGTATGATCTTGTGGAATTCATGGTTTGAAATATCTAATGTCTACAACAGCGGGTTGAAAAGATATAGGGATTAAACTGTATGATCTTGTAGAATGGACAATGGTCCATTCAAAATCTGCCAAGTCCCACGTTTTTTCTTATAAATGTACCCATCCGACGTTTGTCCTGGTCCGACGTTTGTACCAGTCTGACGTTTGTACTAGTCCGACGTTTGTACTGGTCCGACATTTGAACTGTCTGACGTTTGTACTGTCCAATGTTTGTGCGTCTTACGTTTGTATACTGGTACCCCAAGCGCCATGGCTAGAACAGGCTGGGGCAGAGATAGACTTTGGAAGTTGCCGCTTGGGAAATTGCACATTTGGGAAGTTGCCACTTGGGAAAATACCCTTGGGAAATTGACACTTCAGAAAAATCCTTTGGGAAAGTACCTAACATCATTTAATGCTATTCATCCCATACAAGTAGCTTAAAAGTAACAAAAACAGAGAATGTAAAAAAATAAAAAAATTTGAAAACATGATTAAAATTTAAATTTTTTGATTTCCCCCTTTTTTTTATCTAATAGTATTTTTTTCAGTAAAAAGCGCTTAATTCTGAATCCTATCATACTTATTACATGTTTCCAATATTTCTCCAATTCTTGTCTCCATTTCAGAAAGATTAGACCTATAAATAATTAATTGATATACAATATAATATATCTAGGGTTTGGAGAATAAAACAAGAAAATGCTTCTAAGACATTTTCATTATAAATTATCATCTATATAGAGCAATTGATAAAGAATGCCTCTGTAAGGTTTCTAATTTTTCCCGGATCAATTTGGTTCAGTAATTTTATAACGGATTTTATTTTAAATATTGAGTCCATATTGGAAAGATTCCGCCTTTAATTTTCAAAAGTTTTAATGGTTTTTAATTATAAACAGCATTAGGAGAGTTTTCATAATGCCCTAATAAAGCCAAATCGATCAGGAAGAAATTGGAACCCTGTGAAGTCTCCAACATTTAAAACTGTATTTCGTTAAAGTTAGATTTTTTAAATTATGCAAAAATTCTATTTTAAGACGGAACATGCTAAAAAAAATTACATAGCAATTATTGCAATTAAAATGGATCCCAACTAGTATTCATTACATTCTCTTTTTGTGACACATTTCCATTACAAAACTGATCCAAAAAGATTGTAAACCCTAGCATTTGGTAAGTTTGGATAAAAAATAGAGGTTAAGTGTACTTTCATGGTAGATCTTTTACGTCAAATTTTATCGCAAAATAAACATAGTAAAATTACATTATTTTTTGAGTACTTTTGAACAGTCACCTAAATTTTTATTATAAATCTCATTCTCAAATAGTCAGCTAAGTGAGTATTAGATATCTTGTTCTTGAGTAGTCAGCTAGGCGAGTATTACAGATCTCGCTCTTTCCTAGCATGATTTCTATGTTTAAAGTTTATGTATCATTTTGGAAATTATGTAACGTTATTAACAATGTTTGTTTCTATAATATAGATTTTGTTTATGTTAATGATTATTTAGCATTGAAAATATCTTTTCAAGGATAGATGTTCTTAACAAGGAGAGGATAGCAGAATAGGGGATGAAGGGGGGGGGAGGCACTTAACTAAGCAGTGCTTAGTGCTCAGGCTTTATTTTAATAGAATAATATTTTAGCCGTTTTATTTAATATCACTTAAGTGTTTTTTCTTTTTTCAAAGTTTTTATAGAAATCCTACCTTTTAATAAACTATATAAAAAGTTTATTAAAGTGTGATTAAAAACCGGGATTAACGTTGTTTTACAAAACGCAATAAACTTTTTTGATTAGTTCATGTTTCAGGTGAAAAAATATTGTAATAAAGCGAACCATTTTTTTATGAATTTTGTGCTTTCTTCAGAGGTCTGATGGAATTTTTATCTCTATAATATTTCAAATTCTTTAAAAAATTTATTGTCAAATAAAAGAGCCAGTCTGATAAATCTTTCCTCGGGCAATGTGAGGTCCTATAAAAATTTTGTCCGATCGGTTCGGCTGTTTCGACGTTTATTGGATACAGATAATGTATATAATCCTGAAACTAGTATTCTGAGATATGAACAAGAAAAGAATTATTCATCTTTCTGAATATTCATCCTTCTAAAATATACTCTCTTTTTTCAAACAAGATTATATATCATAAAAGATTTTTTTGCGCTACTTCGCTTCCATTTTGTATATTTTGTATATTTATCAGTACAAGGCTTTTAGGTCGCTTCGCGCCCATCTTCTATTTCAATTGTAAGCATTTTCTCTTTGTACACTTTGTAATATAAAAACAAAAAAGTTCGCGGATTTCATAAAAAAATTTAGAGGATTTAGAAAATTTATTAGAAATTAAATTTTATTGGAGGAAAATTTTTTAAAATTTTTATCATCCATAAACCTTCCATTGGTTCACGTAATGTCCGACACAAAATTTGGGCTTGATTGGTTCAGCCGTTTTGACGTTAATTAGATAAAAACAAACAGACACCCAAACAAAACGTATATATTGAGAACATGAAACCATTTTTATGCGTGATTTTCTAACAATAACAACGATATGTTTTGGCAATTCTTCTATTTTTTATAAAGTGGATTTACAAAATTTGTGACAATTTTCTTTTTTAAAGGTAAAATCTTTAAATGTTGACCTTCATAAACCTCGCTTGGGGTCAGTGTTTTCAAAAAAAAACTTAACAAACCAACTAACCTGCTGAATATATACATGGATTATACCCATATAGAATAAGACTTCAGAGACGACTTTATAGAATTTACTTATTCTTATTTCTGACATTCCTGCAGGCTCCACGAAGCTTTACAAGTCTTATTTTCTGTACAAATCATTTAATAAACAATGTACGCTCCTCTGACCCTTTAGTAAAAGTAAATTCAACCTAACGTCTGACCGCGTCAACCTTGTTGCACCGGCTAGTACTATTGAGTGCCTGCTTTATTTACCCAATGTCTGGGCGATACAGTACAACCTGGGACCGGAAAGTTTGACCCGGCTCGGAAATATGAGTGTACTACGGATGCCCGTCGAAGATAATATATATATAGATATGCAGGCAGGTAGAAACCTCCTTCCTAAATTGCTTGTAGCAGACAACTAATTTTTGAACCTCTGAGAAAAGGTGCAAGGAGAGACATCTATAGCAAATTGATTACTTTCTATATTCCTTTCTCCCCTTGCTGCCATCTGTAGGAAATACGCATTTGTGTTATATAAACATACAGTACGCGTATTGCATCCTGTATAGTTCAAGTGTTGCTATCTGGACCTGTTTGACCAATAAAATTAAATTTCAAGGTAACACAAACATACAGTACGCGTTTTGTTTATGTTATGATCAGTTGTACTTAGTAAAGATATAGTAGGCAAACAGAAATATTGACAAACCTTTGGAAATTATTTTATATTTGTTAAATAAGTGATATCTATTTAATCAAACGGTTTTATGAGATATTTAAATAAAATTAGATTTTTTAATTGGTACCACAATATATGCAATTAAGATGTTGGGGTTGATGGTTTAAAGAATTATTAAAATAACTGTTTTTATACATGAATTCTAGTAAACAAGGCAAATAAATTGCAACATTTTTTTGGGAGGACTTTGTCCTAGATTCGATGTACTTTTTAGTCATAATTTTTATTTAAATTGCGTTAATTTACGTATGCCATTCAGTACAACTTGCACATTTAAACTTTGTCTAGTCAAATTCCTACCCCAGTTTTATTTGCATTGATTAATTTGTTTCATTAAGTACAATATGCAGTATACATTGTTGATACTATAGTACGCATTTAGTGTTATCACGCATAAACAAAGTGATAAATTAACAACAATCTAGAGGATAAAATGCCATGCGTACGACAGAGATGGTGCTGTTTGCACCTTTTCTCAAGACCTCAAAATTTATACCTGCCTGCATATCTATATATATATTATCTTTGATGCCCGTGCTTTTAGAGACTAATTTCAAGAAAGTACCTTCTAGTGGTTTTATTCTTTGCGGATAACCTATAAAGGCATTTTAAATGTTAATTAAAAGCGTTTTTCTGGTATTTTTTTCAGCTCAAACCTCTGATAGACCCTCCCGCCTGCTCTCTTTCAAATGATACTTGGATTTAAATACTGAAGTTGGACTTTTTAACAAAAATATTACGTACCACATTCTTTAACACAAACTCGAATTTTTAAATCCTAATAGCTTTGCAACATGATGGTCTAAGCCTTTGATATTTCAAACTTACATTTTTTGATTAAACAGAATACCGTATTTCAAACAAATCAAGTCGACATTAAGTTGCAAAGATATAAAGATTAGAAAGTTAAATTTTGTTGAATTCATTTTAGAAATAAACTTTTAATGAGTTCACAATATCATCCCAGTCTGGGTTTGGTCCTGTCCTATGGTTATTTTCCGAGACTGTATTGGTCCTGTCCGGTGGTTATTTTACGAGACTGTATTGGTCCTGTCCGGTGGTTATTTTACGAGACTGTATTGGTCCTGTCCGATGGTTATTTTACGAGACTGTACTAGGTCGTATAGAGGCTGGTGGTACTCAGGACTTCAGTAGATTCGAGGTTGCTTAGTGAGAACAAGGTTACGGTCTCTAAACATCCTCAATATAAACACACAGGAAAATATTTCTCCGCTTTCAAACAACATATTTTTCCTTTTTTTCTACCACAGTTTCATAGAAACTTTTTTTTAAACAGAAAATTGTCAGTTTTACAAAACTAGATTTAAAATACATTTAAAAATTTAAATTTTAGTCATTGACTACTTCAAAAGCTTTCGTTTTAAGTGTATGTATTTGACTTTTATAAAAATCTACAAATTAAAATTTTGGAACATTTTTAAATCAAATAATAAATTTCTGCTTTAAAATTGATGAGTTGTGAACATTTGTCAAAATTGTTGGTCAAGCGTATTCAAGGGCATTAAAAATTTATAGAATTTGACAAGTTTAGAAATTGCAAATTTCTACTTTTCAAAACTGGGTTTCCCCTAAAGGATTACACCTTTTCAACGACCCAAACCCTTACGGAAAGGATGGGTTTAATGTTTATATTTATATCTATCTTGATAAAAGGGTACCGTTGTGAATTCGGTTGATAACTCTTTAAATGTAAGGTTGAATTAAAAATGTTCGTTGGATTTCACAACTAAAAATTTATGTAAAAAAATTGACTTTTATTATAAACTTGAATTTTCTAATTTCCATATCTTTTAAACCTTCGATATTTGAACTTATAATATTAGATCAAACAGATTTAATATTTTGAAATATCTAAGGTCTGCGACATTGAGTTGCAAAGAAATCGGAATTAAAGAATCAGAGTTTGGGGCAAGAACTCAATCTCTTTATACGCTCTCTAGATACTGGATACACTGGATACTGCAAATACCAGGAATACAGAATATTAAAGATAGAATCCTGCTTAATCATTCATGAAAACTAATTGATATTTATTGATTGATGTTTGCTGCTGCCAAAAATATGTTATTCAAAAATCTTTGGGACTGTTAGACCACGGTGGACTAAGCCAGTGGGGTCGGTCAAATAAGCCTAGGATTAGGCCGGGTACTGTAAAAAGTCTGAACTCCCCATGGGAGTTGTCATGGTTTGACTAAACCCTTAGCTTTAGCCCTCAAAATATACTGGTTTTCTGGGGTTTATACCACTTTAAAATAATAAACTCTTTAAATCTCTCTAACAATAATAAAACTCTAAAACTCTGTCTTAAACTATCTCATATCAATATATATATACTGGGCGAAAAGAAAGATATGCCTCTAAAACAACTTCTATTGATAATCTGGTAGCATGAATATTACAGGATAGACTGATGCATAAAAGAGTTGAGAACCCTTTTATACCCATGCGCGCCTAGCCTAGCCTAGCACGCTTGTTCGGTACAAAAAGGTTCTTAACCAAAAAATGAAACATAAACAGAAATAAAAGTCGCTGCAGGTTAGCCCTCCGACGGGACTATGCCAAGAAAATTGACCACTGTCGTATGTTAGTCTGGTTAGGGCGACGTACTGTACAGAATATGGCAGTCCGGTACAAACTGGGCAGGTCCTGTTCGAATTCAAATTTACTAGGCCCAGAGTGAGACGTAACTCCGAGCAAACTTCCATTTAACTATTCCGATTCGTAACTATTTCAATCTCTTCCTGAGTATAACAGTAAGACACAAATCTCCGTTTTTATCTTACGTGATAAAATCTGAAAACTATCATTCTAGTTTTAGTACCGTATTGCAGTCACTTTTATATAGAAACTGCATTGGAGAATAATTAATTTTTAGCCAGCAAATAAGGATATTTCATTCATCCTCATGATTGAACAGAAGTTTGAAAGGTATCGTACAAATGGCTGTTCACTGTCCCTAGTCATACAAATTTCAATTTCTATGTCATAAAACTGCCCTCACCTTACGACAATATGAAGAGAATTAAAAGAATGTTGATGAATATTTCTAAAAATTGTCCTTCTTCAAGATAATATATGCATATATAACGCCAAGATATCCAGGGGCCTCTAGGCGGACACCTAGTAATCTTTTTCATATCGATCCATTTCAACCAAATAAGACATTGCAAACATTAACTAAATATAGTTAGACCTGTTGAACACTCTGATAGATCAGAATTTAGAACGATCGTGTTGCGAAACTCAGAATCAAGCATTTATCTCTGTTTTACTCAGACCTGCGGATTAATTTAATTCTTCTGCGATATCTCGGCAAGGGTAATATTTATTGATTACAAGTGCCCATAGTGGATATTGATATAAAGCATTCAATAGTAATATATGATCCAAACACAAGTTTTTACATCACTGACACGCTTGGTGTTTTTAAAACTAATATATATTGAAACTTGGGTAGCATCTATATATCTCAGCATCTATCTATCTCAGCATATATCTTTTTCAGCAACTATCTATCTCAGCATCTATCTATCTCAGCATCTATCTCTCAGCATCTCTCTATCTCAGCATCTATCTATCTAAGCATCTATCTATCTCAGCATCTATCTATCTCAGCATCTATATATCTCAGCATCTATCTATCTCAGCATCTATCTCTCAGCATCTATCTATCTAAGCATCTATCTATCTAAGCATCTATCTATCTCAGCATCTATCTATCTCAGCATCTATATATCTCAGCATCTATCTATCTCAGCATCTATCTTTCTCAGCATCTATCTATCTCAGCATCCATCTATCTTAACATCCAATTTAAAATCACTAGTCAAGTCAGCGGTAAATGCAAATACGATTATTTCTTATCCAGCTTCTTTCTTTGCTAAATCTAGCTTTTGATAAACCTCTAAAATACTAAACTGAAGGCAGACAACCTTTATTAAGCTTGCTTATCGTCATGTTTTAAGGGTGTTTAGTAGTCAGTAATGTTTCACCTTTTAACCTTGTATATTGCCAACATATGAAAACAACGGCTAGTTATACTTTTTTATTATAGTACTAATCTTAATTAATCCATACCTGAACAATGTAATCCTTCTCTTACATGCATTTATAGTTGAAAGCAATTAGGATTTCTTTTTTGCAATAAATATGTGTTTGTTTTAACAAATAGAATTTACAAAATGTACAATAATATTATTTATTGGATATTTAAAAAATAGGATGAAAAAGAAAACCGACATTTTAGTAACGTTAAAAGCAAATTGTTTTACTAGAAGCTTAAAAATCAAATAATTAAGTGTAATATGGGTTGGTGTAGTGCATGTGTATACTCAACAATTACTGTTTTCATGTTAAATGGATTACTTAAGAATTTTTTTTTAAGGGGGGGATAATTGATCAGAAAGATAAGAATCAAAAAATATATTTCCAGGGAGGTTGAGAGTAGGGTTTCCACGAAATGGCTAAATCTTTTGGCAATTTTTTTTTGCGATTTTTTGCGCTATTTTTGCGAATGAAACGCAATGAGTTTTGCGCAATTTGCGCAAAACCGGAAATATTTTTTGCGAAAGTTGCGCATGAGACGAAATTTTAGTTTTGCAAAACTTGCGCAAAACCGCAAGTTTTACGCAAAATGTAACTTTTTAGGCAAATTGTCAAAAATTGATATTCTAAGCTTAGAAATAAACAACTGAAGATTTATTCCATACATAAAAAAATATTAACATGCGAGTATGATAACGATTATACTACACTTAATTGGTTACTTCCAGTTACAAAAAGTTTAAATTGACCAATTTAATAGGAAAACATTCCAAAACAAGATTTTTCCAGAATTGAATTCTAAGAAGCACACACCGTCACCAACCGTTTGATTTTTACGAAATTGCGGAATTGCGCAAAATTGAGTTTTGCAAAAGCGGAATAGGGCAATTTTGCGCGAAATGACTTTTGCGAATGATTGCGCAAATTGTTGTTTTTTCGCACAAAGAAAGGAAAATTTTGCGTTTCGTTCCGCAAAAGTTTTGCGAATGGAAACACTAGTTGAGAGGGATTGATATTGTACAAATTAGGACACTTATTCATAGTAATTTAACAAGTTTATAGCAGACCAAAGCCTTATTCTCAATCTTGGCAAGAAAAATAGATCGGGCTTAATACGTCAAAGAAAAATGTAAACAAACCATCCCCCCCCCCTCCCATCTTCCCCTCTCCCATCCCAGTCTCCCCTCCCCCCTCTCCCCTCCCTCTCCTTCCTTAGTTCTGTTCTCGTTGACTATTTAAATGAATAAACAAATAATTTCTTGGATTGATCGAAATATTTTGCTGGGATAGTGTACAGTTTGCAGTGAATGTACTGTACTGCAGAATACAGTGAATTGTACCGTACAGTTTCAATATGACGCACCTACTAGGTCCAGGTACTGTACTACTGTACAGAAGAAACCAGAAATCGGTGAAACGATTGGCGTTTTTTTTATTTTTTAACTATAAAATGTGGCTACGGGTTTGTAATTGGCTTAGGAAATCAGTAATTGCGCAGTTATAAAGTTTTCAATTATAATTGAATTCTTAACGAAATATACAGGGTTCCCTTCAAAGGATGAGACTTCAGAGACGATTATACGGAATTTATTTTAGTCCGTTTTCTTGCATTCAGGGTTCCGTGTTGGTCAAAACTGGCTTATTTCTGTGGTTAATCATAATGAATACCGAAACCAAAAATAAAGTTTTAAATCGTCATGTTCTTAGAGTTTTGGGTCGTATTTTAAGTGTTTTCAATTGTTGGTAACCCTGTAGCCTTTTTGACCAACCATTCCACTGCAGCGCTCTGGTCAACGTTTTTTAAAACATTTTATCAGCAGAGCTTGCGTACAATTGTTCCGATTGCAACTTTTAAAGAGAAATACAGGTTGTCACACAAAATAAGACATGTTTTGAATGTTGTCTTTTATATACTGTATTATGATATTTAAGACTTTTTGCAGTTTATTTCGTTAAAAAATCTTTTGCTCAAATACATTTTACTTTTAAATGAATTTTACTATAATATGGCTCCCATTTAACATTTTTAATATTGTTTTTGGTATTAAACAACTGAACAAATTATGGAAGCAGACATTTACCAACTGTCATGTTTCGTGGGACACCCTGTATATTCACGTTAATATATTTTTCTAGCACATGAATGTTGCTACATATTAAAGATTTGTATTCCCTTGAGCGGGATATTATGTTACTTTGATATCCCTAGGGAAAATTAATTATAACAGCTGATCTCAATACTGTGCAATTGCAAGAATAAGATAATCATTGATATTTGACAAAAGGAGTTAAAAATAATATCAATAAGAGCCACGTGTCCAAATACAGTTTTGATCTTTACTGTATGCGGGATAGATACTTGGATCAGGGTCCTATCAAGGGGGATGGCCAAGGTTATAATGCAAAGAAAGTTATTTCAGAGGTGTACGCATCTTTTGTACTGCAGTGTACTGTCTCTGGGCGGTTACGTAAACACAGTCGGATGTCGAAGCCTCACATGGGATCCATCTTTTAAGTAAAAAAAAACCAATGAAATATTCTGGTCTCAGGACACTATTATGTGAATTATCAAAATTATCAAGATTTAATGCTTTTAACCTCCTCGGATACTAAACGAACACTGATGCATGCTATAATTGTTTACAAATTCCGCCCAGAGAAAACTGGTTTCAATATGTACGCAGAGTATATGGAACTGCAATTAGCTTTCCTTGCATTATAACCTTGGGGATGGCAAGCGGAAGCCGCACCTGTATAGTCTTCATACTGCAAATTACTCACAAAAATAAAGTTGCAACCACGTGCTCATCCTTAGCGCTTCCTAGCCTCACCCCTTTATCCTCTTAAAAAATAAAATATCTTTACTTTTGAATGCTTATTATAGAGAAATGTAGTGTTAATTTAAGATTTTAAAGACGTCATGGCTTCTGTTATAACCTAAACATATTAATCTTATTTTTTTGGTAATTTAAACAAACATTCCATATAAACATGATCTATGATTAATATGTTTAGGTTAAAAATTTCGTAAACAGTAATGAAATCGTTAACGGTGCAGCTGTTAGAAGTCTATTACAGTATTTACGGCGTTAATCCATCTCGTTTTCGTTTTCAATCGTTAGTTTTGTTTTAAAAACGGCTAAGTTTTTGCCGTTTGTTAACGGACTTATATTCGTTTAATTTTGAAAACCTCCGTTTCGTTAATGGAACTTTACCCAGCCCTTACTGTGGTACTAGTTTTTAAAACATATTAAATTGTTTTTTTTTAGTTGAATATCGGTGTCATAGTCCAGAGGATATTTCGGGGGCCTCTACTGAGATAATATTCATACAGGAACCTAGGTTAGAAATCCACCAACTTCATTTTTCCAAACCAAACTTGGTCGTCCGCCATTTTAAATATTTTTATTTAACCATTTCTACCATGTTTACAAACTAAACCTGATTTTTACCCTTTTTAATTCTCTCACAACAACAAAATAATAAAAAGTCTAAAACTTCAATATTTTCTGTTTCAAAATCGAAATATTTTTATCTCCCCAAAGTGTTTCTTGAACTCCAAGAGTTTAAGTTTAAATTTCCAACTTGAGAATTAAATTAAATTTATTCATCTAGACATCCTAATTTTCTTCAACCTGTTTCAAGCCGACATCTTTAATGTAGATCTTAAAGGGACTAGAGACGTAAACATCTTTAATGTAGATCTTAAAGGGACTGGAGACGTAAACATCTTTAATGTAGATCTTAAAGGGACTAGAGACGTAAACATCTTCAATGTAGATCTTAAAGGGACTAGAGACGTAAACATCTTTAATGTATATCTTAAAGGGACTGGAGACGTAAACATCTTTAGTGTAGATCTTAAAGGGACTAGAGACGTAAACATCTTCAATGTAGATCTTAAAGGGACAGAGACGTAAACATCTTCAATGTAGATCTTAAAGGGACTGGAGACGTAAACATCTTCAATGTAGATCTTAAAGGGACTCATGGAGACGTAATTTAAAGTGATATTTCCCTCTTGTGCCCGTTAAACATTTGCATCTGATTAAAGATGAATAAAATGCATGGAGTTGAGAATGTGAGCATGAAGTGCGTAATTTAGACAAGGAACATAGCAGCAGACATTATGACGAGCTTGTATAGTAGAGAGAATTGATAAAATCATGGTCGATATTATCTGCGACTTCGAAGCGTATGTCCATTGGGAATTCTGAAAGTGTGTTTAGTGTTTTAGGACCAAAACACGGTTTCCGACACAGAAAAACACTTTTCTTCAGTTTACCCCAAAGATTTTGAGGCATCGAAAGAATTTATGAAATGTCAGCTTGACAATTTTTTGATGAGTTTTTATACTATTTTACGTAAATCTCATTAATTGGAAAAATAGCTATAAATATGTGGGAACAGTTTTAGTTTTAAAGAGCTCCATATAATCATTTGATCAAAAAACTAAATATCTGCTTAACATTCCATTATCAGAAAGTTAAGAATACGACATTTAATAATTTCTTCTGATTTCTCTTTATTTTTGAATATAACGGTACTAGGCTTTTAAGGCGCTTCGCGCCCATCTTCTATTTCAACTTTTAATTGTGGCTTTATCTCTGAACATCTTCTCTTTGTACAATATAAAACAAAAACAAAAAAGTTTGCGGATTTCATAATATTTTTTGCGCATTTTTAAAACTTTTCAAAAATAAAAAACTTTTAAACACAAATTTTTAAAATTTTGATCATTCATAAACCTTCCCTGGGGTCACGTGAGGTCCCACAAAACAACTGGGCCCTATCATTTCAGCCGTTTTGACGTTTAAATTGATGGACACAAACAAACAGACTAACAAACAGACAAGCTAAATTTATATATAGATGTAAAGTTAAAAAATATGATATTTCATGGTTTAGCGGTGAAATTATAAATCCTAACTTTTTAGAAAACGTCGAGGAGTTTTTAAACGACAAGACGAGATGAGGACAAGATCCCACTCTGCAGATAGATTATTAGGTAAACTAAATCCCCCCCCCCACCCTACTCCTCTACTATTTCTTCTTTTCTTTACATTCTTTTTTTCGATGTATATGCAGCTTAGTGTCCTAGAACTAGTATATATTTTTAACTATGAATTTTTAAATATAAAATAATATAAGTGTGACATTTTTAGATAATCCTATATCATGCTAAAAAGTATCCAGAATTCAAATGTAAAACAAATAACTAGAACTAACCAGTAATAACTTATTCATTGCCTAACTTTGAGTTTGCTTCATCAAATAACTAGAAATAACCAGTAATAACTTATTCATTGCCTAACTTTAAGTTTGCTTCATCAAATAACTAGAAATAACCAGTAATAACTTATTCATTGCCTACTCTGAGTTTGCTTCATCAAATAACTAGAAATAACCAGTAATAATCTCTTTGTTGCCTAGATGAAACTTTGTTGCCAGAATAAACTACGTTTTAACTTTCACGAAGCACTTCACCCTTTCATTGTTGCTAAAAAGATTTCTAGGCCTTTTCAGTAAAGTTTATTTTTTCATAGAGTCTATGGGTAGTAAAAAACAAATTAGAAATATTTGAAAATAAGTACTTAGATAGAGGTCTGAATAAAGCTGAACTAAAGAAAGTATAAAACTAGAAGTTCTGATCAATTACCGTAAAAAGTTAATATTTCTAGACACATATTTCATATATATATTAGCGTAATAAGTTTGATTCAATTTCTTTGTATCTTGGAATATACAGGGTGTCCCAATAAACATGGGAATTCAGTGACTAATTCGATATCGTCTTAATTTTTGAATAATTCTTTGGTTTAGTATAGTGATACCTACTGAGAAAGCTATAATCTGTAAGAGTTTTGTCTGTAATGTTCAGATTATGTTTGTTTATGTTTTGACTGCATACGGTTGTACTTAGTAAAACAAGAAAATTACAGTATAAAAACAGAGTAAACTTGTCCGTCTTCACTGTTCATCTTGTGGAGACATTATAGACACATCTTTACAGTCTTTTACCCTTTTAATAAAATAAATTCTAGCAGACATAATAATATTATGGATTTTGAAATTAGGTATTACATTGCTAATTCATAACAAAGACGATATCCAATTCGTCACTGAATTCCCATGTTTATTGGGACACCTTGTATAAGTTAACGTGGGTCAAGAGAGGTCGGCGTATATAGGGATTCAATGTATACGACTTTTAAATTCATGTCTTAATTTTCAATAAATTTTTTTTTTAATTACAAGTTTACGAGTAAAAGAGACAGTATAGATGAGAGCTGCTCTTTTGTTTCATTGTATTAATAGATATGACATTAAGAATTTCATGGTAATATTGTGTTAATTATGTTCATCATTAGCAAAATAAGAGACAGTAATGAATACTTTTCTAGTGGTTTAATTAATCGCCAATTAATTCACTGTTTGAAAACCTTTTATAAGCTTGTAACTTCGTAAACAATACAAATTCGATGTTAGTTCAAACTGCATTATCACACTTATACTAATCTCATATTTTTTATTTCATGTTGTTTCATATTTTCAGAAGACGACATTGATATGAGACTTCAACTCACTCCCTTAGTAACACAAGTAAGAATATTTTACCAGAAAAATTTAAATAAGAAACTATGTACTTTAAAACTCGGCTTTACAATAATGAAACATTTACTTTCGACTAATTTCGAAAATCCTCGAAATTTACAAGTCTGGACACAGTACAAACTATCGATCATTCTAGCGATTAATAAAATCTATGAGTTTTGTCTCTAATTTAAAAAGTCGGTGCGTAGTTTTTTTCTTGAAGAATGTAAACATTCCTTTTAAGGTGACCGGGTTGGACAGCCAGGGGTCATCAATAGAAACCAGGTCGCGTTCAACCCTAGACACCTCCAGGGCTAAAACATCAAGAAACCGGTTTTCAGCACACAACAACAACTACAACAACAACTTTAACAGGTTCAGTGGTATTTTTCGTTCACGTGAACTTTCTTATTTAAAAACCCTCTGTTATCAGATGAGCGGGGGAAGGCATGGCGGCCATATGTTACAACTTTTCCCCTTCCATGCCACATAGCAATAAACCACAACCGTACGGTCTTCCATGCCACAACATTTGACCCTTCCGGAAATTATTACGTTTTTGAATGATAAATTTATTGCATTAAAAATTGCGGTTTTCTTGCAAAAATCCAGCCGCATTAAGTGAAAGACGCGATACCTTTAAGAAATTTAATAAGTTTATTAAAGATCAATGAACTGTGTGTTCAGTTGTTAAACCGATTTACACTTTACAAAGAAGATTTTATACATCATTATACGCATTGTGGGCACCGAGACAAATTGTTTGGGGGAGTCTAAAGAATAAGAAAATATTATTAAAATATCAATATTAACTGGCATTACTTGAGCAATACAGATTTTCACAAATAAAAATTCTATTTTGCAATTTTCTCGTTAAATAGTGCAATGTTAAAAAAAATATTAGAGGATAGATTGACTTTATTTTTGGGGAAAAATAGGTTTATAGCAGTTTACATTAAAATACTTATTTTTATATTTATATATCTTTTGTATCAAGTGCAGACTGGTTTTATGAGAATGGCAATTTCATTGCACTAAGTTTACTATTTGAAAACCTAATAATTGCCGGAAAGGTAAAATGTTGTGGAATTTTTACTGTCTGTTTCCTTTTAGTTATAATTCCCGTGTAACAGTAAACTCTGTCTCTCTCTTTGCTCTTTCTTTAAATAAGTCACTTTTAAACTATACTTCAGGCAGACGATTTAATTTAACCATAATATCGTCATATATTTGAAGAGTTTCAGGTCGTCTTTACATTCTCATCTTGTGTGGGTAACCGTGTATCTAGAAACACTCCATCCCACAAACTTTGAAAGCGCAGGACCGACATTTTTAGAAATGTAGTTATTTTAAACTTGAGTCAGTGAATATCCATTTTTGTTTTGTTTATTTCGATTTCAATTTCTAGCTTTTACGTGTATGTTTTTACAATTAAATGGTTACAAGTGCGATCAATAACTCTTTTTGCTAAAATAATATTAATCCTTTTTCCAGTCCAGAGCCCGCGATTTAAAAACTTCGGCTCAAACCATAATTCCTTAAACTCGACTTTAAGACCCAATCTTCGACCCAACAGATCTGCTTGTGCTTGTGTCACGTGACTGACAGCTGCAAGATCTTCGGCTCGACTTAAGGAGTTAGGCTCAATGAAAATAAAACCGACCTTGGTTGGTTTTGTGGAGAATAAGGCTCAATGTTGAGTCTTGTTCTCATAAAAACCCTGAATGCGGCATGATTCCAAATGCTTTCAATTTTGAAAATTTTGATAATTCACATAATAGTTTCATATGCCAAGAATATTTCATTATTTTTTATGTTAAAGATGGATCCAATAGGCTTGACATCCGTCTTGTGTTTACTTTGCCGCCCAGGGACAGTACACCGCAGTACTAAAAATGCCTGCACTTCTGAAATAACTATCTTTACATTATAATTCTTTGAACCTGGGTATAGAAAAGTATGGATTAAGAAACTCAGCCCTAGGACTTTCATATCCTGATTTATACCACACAAGTTCAGATATTTCCCTAAACAAAGATATAGGGATTCAATTTCTATGGAATCTTTGGAACATTCCCTCTAAAGAAGTTTTATCTACATCTTTATATCAACAACAACTCATTGGTACCACTGTGAAAGTGAGACCTAAAGTTAAGTATACTTAAAAACCAATTTTTTTTTGATTAAATTAAAAAAAAAAATTTTACTTTTGTTTTAGATCTCTAAATTGTGATACCCTGAAAGTTTCTCGTCAAAGCAGTTCCATTAGCAGACAGGAAAATATCAAAATTATGTTACGATTTTTTCTTATCTGAAAAATTGGTGTGTTTTAAATTTTTTTTTTTTGTGCAAAAATATTGAATATTTATAAAACCAGGATAGCTCCACCAGTCGTCAAAACAGCCTGTCAAGTAGATATGAGAATTCGTTTAGTCGGCAGAACAGTAGCAGGCTAGATAGTCGTCAGGAGAGTGTTTCCCGCCAAAACAGCTGTGTCGAGGAAAGTCCTGTGCTGAGGTCATCTTTGCTTCCAGAAAAAGCATGGCGGCATACTTCTCAGGCAAAACTCTGGGGACACAGGTATACATTGTATTATATACCGAGAATAGATAATGAAGCAAAGTGTGAAATTAAGTCGAAAAAAAGTTTTAAATCGCCATTTTGTTTTACTGCGTCCATTGCAGGTGTACTTCACACATTTGTGCCTTGTAACCTTTTTGGCCCTGGAACATCTTTTAAAGAAAAAAATGTTCCTTAAAATTATTTGATTTTTTCTAAATCAATTTTCTGATTACCGGTCATGCATTCCCGAGTTCATTTCAGCATAAGCTTTACTTTTCATTTCAGAGTTCGTTTCATTTCAACATTGTGGGGATAAGTAGTAAATTTTAAAAATGAGCATTTGCGCACTGTTTTGTATATATTTTATCTTAAGCATTATTTGTAAAAAGGATTTTATTTGTATTGAGTGTCAGAGGAAATTTAAAGATATTTATTTAAAGACTTCGAAAAATTGAAATAACTGCTTGATCCCGGGGTTTAATATAACTAATATAATATGATATAATTAACTGCATTGGCTAATTTTTTCTGTTTTCAGACGTTCTTACTCGGGTTCGGTATGGGATTCTCAAAATGATAAACCTAGTATCAAGTAAGAAAATAAATATTTTTTAAATTTACAGTTTTTTGTTCGATAAATATCTTATCATTTAACGCTCTAACTAGGCAAGGGAAAATCGATTAGAATTTTGTTAATTACTTTCTTAAAACTGAAGCCAAAACAAGTACTTTATAGTTCTAGAATAGATATGTCTAAGGCTCCAAAAAAGCAAAATTGAATTGTTGAGGTAAAATTAAAGTCCAAGACGTTGCGACACTTTAAAGTTGACCCAGTCTGAAAAGTAAATGCCCCGCGTTTAAAAAAACAAAAGTACTCATTCTGTATTATTCATCCTAATTATAGATCAAATAGAAAGGTTTGCACCATCATCCATCAGGTTGCAAAGGTTATTATGAAAACAAAGTCTTATATCTAAGCAAATGGGATTGGGATGGAACCAACCAGAGGCCGGATTTAAAGAATTGGAGCAGCGACTTAAATTTAAGCCGCGGCTCAAATATAGTTGGTTCCATCTGAAATGGTATTCAATGTTTCAAGATTTGAACCGGCGCTCAATTGAAACCGGTTTTTGGCGGATTTAAAACGCGACTGAAATTCATTAAATTCGGACTCAGTACGTCTAAACAATCCTCAAAAATAAAAGTAAACAAAAAACTTAAACAAAGAAATCTAATCTAAATATGCAGTCTAAACATTCTATGAGCTACTTCCCTGTTCTAAATCAGAAATCATGTTGCACGACGATCTTGAATTCGCCATGTTAATTCCCATGTTAATTCCATGTTATTTCCCATGTTAAGTCCCATGATAATTCCCATGTTAATTCCCATGTTAATTCCTATGTTAATTCCCATGATAATTCCCATGTTAATTCCCATGTTAATTCCCATGTTAATTCCCATTTTAATTCCCATGTTAATTCCCATGTTAATTCCCATGTTAATTCCCATGTTAATTCCCATTTTAATTCCCATTTTAATTCCCATGTTAATTCCCATGTTAATTCACATGTTAATTCCCATGTTTATTCACATGTTAATTGTGAGTTGTGATACCCTATATTAGTATTTAGGGCACAGTAGTACATTGTAGAAGTATAAGCTTTCTTTGGAATTGGAGATTTTTAAGTCTTATCATTTTTGAACGAATTATTTAATTACTGAAAACCAAATTGCTTGAATTATGATTTGATATAATTTATCTTGCAACTTTTTTTACTTTATATTAGGGGAAAATATTGTCTTTTCTTAAAAGTTTAAAAGCATTTAATTCTGATAATTCATATTTTTGTTTTCCTGTAGAGAACCCACAATTGAAAATAATCAGTTTTCAAAATTTTAAACATTGATATCTAATTCATACTTGATTATACAAAGCTGTTAAGGGTACCGTTGTGAATCGGGCAGCGTAATCTTTTCATGAAGGGTCACTTGAAATTACACTTACAGTCCCTTTAATAGTCTTATGAAAATATTAAACCTTATCTATCTCTGTCATAAAGAGATGAGTTCTGATAAAGAATTGAATGAATGAAAACTTCTTTTTCTTTTTACCAAGAATAAGATTAAAATAGAGAAAGCTGCATTTTCAGCTTTGGTTAACTTCAGGACAAAAAGAAGAAAAGATATTTTCGTTCTTTAATGTACCTCTCTCTATTCAAATACTTTATAAATCTTTATATAAAATATTAATATATTTATTTTCTATTTCTTACATATTTACTTCTTCATTTGCATTTGCTTTTTGTAATTTTTATACATCTTGGTATTTTTTTTCTTATATTTTCTCCATGAATGTTTTTTGTGTTTTTTTTGTAAAAGAACAATTTAAAAGAATTTTTAAATTTTTTTCTTGATAAATAAAAATATAGTTATAAATTGATTTCCATCAAATGTGGTATTGTATCAAAATCAAATATATTTACTTACCGATTTATTATTATTAATTAATCCTCTTTTCTTTGACCAAATTTAGCTTTAAAAGGAATTATATTTCCTTGCAACCCGATGTTGTAGACCTTTGCTATGTCAAACTATACATTTTGTAAGATCATATAGTTTAAGTTGGAAATAAGTTTTCACCTTCAGGTTGCAAAGATAAAGGGATTAGAAAATCAGAGTTTGGGGCAAAACGCTTGATTCCTTAGCAGATTTTCCGTTTCTATCGGCAGATTTCCAAAAAAAACAAAAAAACATATGTATATATAAATATCACCCTGGAGAAACCAGGGGTAGATTGTCTTATTGCACTTTTTCATTTTACACAGAGCGTTAGACAAAATATTAAAAACGAGAAAATGCTATAATGTTTGTTTAATGACCAATAGTGATCGAAAGTCACAGCTACCGGGATATATATATATATATATATAATGTACTAGCTAGGGAACCCAGCGCTGCCCAGGTTACTAAAAGTTACTCGCGCCGTTTACCTGCACTTGAACGATTTTACCGAGAAACTAAATTTTCGCTTTTAAAGTCGTTTTACTCAACTTAGAACCTCTGAACCAAGTATAAGAAGATTACCGTTTTGAAAGCTTCCCGATTTCCCCAATCAAAAGTTGAGGCAAATCAGTTCAGGGGTTCCTCAGTTATGATCGGACAAACAAACAGTCATACAGACGAACACCAAAACATACAGAAAAACAGAGATTACAACTTTATACATATAGATGTAGTCAATACATTTTAATTCCGACCAACCATATACCTTCCATGTGAGTTTTAGAAAATAATTAGGTTCAGCCGCTTTGACGACCAGACAAGAAAACAGACAGACAAGCCAAAAATAAGCATATTTATAGATTTAATGCGAGTTCTATAATAGAGGTTCAATGAGGCATATAATACAATACATGGAAAATATTAATTATATTTACAAAACAGTTTCCATTCAAAATAAATATTGATCTTTTTCCCAGTATTCCAAAGTTGGTTTTAAAATTGAGGGGGTTTGCAATTTTTAAATTGGAATCATACAATTGGCTCAGCAAAAAACAGGCTCATTGCCAAGACTGTCTCAAATAAACTTATGCAGGTTCTTCCTAACCTACTTTCTTTTTATGAATTTATCTAATATTGTTATCTGTCTATCTGTATATCTGTCTATCAGCTATCTGTCTATCTGTCTATCAGTATCAGTCTATCTGTCAATCTGTCAATCTGTCAATCTGTCTATCTGTCTATCTGTCTATCTGTCCATCTGTCTATCTATCTATCTGTTTCTCTATCTTTCTGTTTCTCTGTCTATCTGTTTCTCTGTCTATCTGTTTCTCTGTTTCTCTGTCTATCTGTCTATCTGTCTATCTGTCTATCTGTCAATTTGTCAATCTGTCAATCTGTCTATCTGTCTATCTGTCTATCTGTCTAAATGTCTATCTATCTATCTGTTTCTATATCTATCTGTTTCTCTGTCTATCTGTTTCTCTGTCTATCTGTCTATCTGTCTATCAGTATATGTCTATCAGCTATCCGTCTATCTGTCTATCAGTATCTGTCAATCTGTCAATCTGTCAATCTGTCAATCTGTCAATCTGTCAATCTGTCTATCTGTCTATCTGTCTATCTGTCTATCTATCTATCTGTTTCTCTGTCTATCTGTTTCTCTGTCTATCTGTCTATCTGTATATCTGTCTATCTGTATATCTGTATATCAGCTACCTGTCTATTTGTCTATCAGTATCTGTCTATCTGTCAATCTGTCAATCTGTCAATCTGTCTATCTGTCTAACTATCTATCTGTATCTCTGTCTGTCTGTTTCTCTGTCTATCTGTCTATCTGTCTATCTGGCTATCTGTCTATCTGTCTATCTGTCTATATGTTTATCTGTCTATCTTTCTATCTGTCTGTTTGTCTATCTGTCTATCTGTCTATATGTCTACTGTCTATTTGCCTATCTGTCTATCTGTTTCTCTGTCTATCTGTTTCTCTGTCTATCTGTCTATCTGTCTATCTGTCTATCTGTCTACCTGTCTATCTGTCTGCCTGTCTATCTGTCTATCTATATTTCTGTCTATCTATCTATCTGTCTATATTTCTGTCTATCTGTCTATCTGTTTCTCTGTCTATCTGTCTATCTGTCTACTGTCTATTTGCCTATCTGTCTATCTGTTTCTCTGTCTATCTGTTTCTCTGTCTATCTGTCTATCTGTCTATCTGTCTATCTGTCTATCTGTCTACCTGTCTATCTGTCTGCCTGTCTATCTGTCTGCCTGTCTATCTGTCTATCTATATTTCTGTCTATCTATCTATCTGTCTATATTTCTGTCTATCTGTCTATCTGTCTATCTGTCTATCTGTCTATCTGTCTATCTGTCTATCTGTCTCTCTGTCTATCTGTTTCTCTGTCTATCTGTCTATCTGTCTATCTATCTATGTGTCTATCTATCTGTCAGGATGTAATCTGCTGAATGTGAATATATCTACTTGAATAGATAGAAAGATTAAGAGTATATTGTGTACTCCGAACTAGAACTATTGAATGCTGCCAGAGCTAAATGAACTTGATTGATCTGGGAACTTAAGATATTTCTGTAAATAATCAGGTTTCGTTTATATTATCTGAATGGTAGACAATACTGCCAAAAAAAAGTCAAGGATTGCGCGTTTGTAGAGAATCTCATAAATGTATTTGAGTATTGCGTAGATATGAGCATTGCAAAACTTAAAAATGATTAAAGGGACTGAAGGCGTAATTTCAAGTGACCCTCCATGGAAAGATGGCAATGCCGGTGTCAAAATTATAGTCTGATAAAAATTATGAAAGATATCGCCGTGTTCTGACTTTTAAATAAAAATAAACAGCTTAAGAAACAAATCAGATCAAGGTTACCGTTGTAAATCGGGAATTGCCATCTTTTTCTGGAGGGCCACTTGGAATTTCGAATTTGAAAGACCCATGCAAAAAAATTGTAGGTATAATTGTAATTCTTGGTTTAAAAGTTTTAATTATATAAATTTGTTAATTGAATTAGAACCCGTAAAATTTCTTAGACCCTAACAAAAAAAACTATTGTGCCTATTACCCATTGACAAATATTTACAAAGGAACTAAGTTTTTGCCACAAACTTAGATTTTTTAATCACTATATCTTTGCAACCTGAAGACGTGAATAATCTTTGATCTAACTAAGATTAATAGTTTGAAATATAAAGGTCTATGACATCGGTTTAAACGGATAAAGGGATTAAAAAATCAGAGTGTGTGACAAGAACTCAGTTTTTTAGGCCATTGAGAGACGTGTTAAGTTTATTGTTTTTTGACAAAGTGATATCAATCAATATCCTTCCGAGGAGGAAAGAATGAGTACATTTTGTTAAAAAAGGTTCCATCTCTTTTTTTTTGTCTTAGACTCACTGTCTGCAATCACAGGAACAGGCCTTGCTACTTTATCTTTATAACTGGTAAAGAAATATGTTACAAAAAAACACAATAGTATAAACAGAGATATAGTATCAGCCTTCAGAATCTATTAATGGTTTTCTTTCCACAAAAGAAATTCAGGTGCTTGTATGATCAGCTCTGAAAAATTCCGGTGTGCACTGTGAACAGTCTAAACTAGTGTTTCCAGCAAACGATAGGTTTCGCGAAAATTTTCGGTCGCATTTTCGGGAAATTTCGCTTCGTTTTCGCTTTATTTATTTTCGCGATAAAATGCGAAATTTCGCGAAAATGCGAAATGCAAAATTTCGCAAAAATAATTTCGCGAAATGTCTGATGTCTCCTAGTCATTCTGAAATCTATATTTAAATTTTGTGTTGATCCATTAATTGGGCTCGTAGATTAATCCCTCTTTGAAAATGAGTCTTGTACAATCAAAATTAAGTCTTTTTTGATTTTTGCTAAAGCTTTGCGTTTGTTTTTAAAAATTCTGTATTTTCGCGAAATTTTCGTTTTTTTGTTGCATAATTTCAGTTTTTGCGAAATTTTCGCATACAGATTGAAGCGAAATTTCGCGAAGAAAGCAAAGATTTTTGCATTTTTCGTGAGCGAACGAAATGGTCGCGACAAAAAAATGTTTGCGAAAAGATTTTTCCTTTTCGCTGGAAACCCTAGCCTTCTGAACTCATATCGCAGTGCACAGAGCCCAAAACTTCAGACAGGGTATTGTTATAAAAACCAGTTTTAAAATCCCGGGCTTCATGGATGAGATCAGGCAGTTTTGTGAATATCGATTTTTTGTAATGAAATATTATTTTTTCAGTTTTTTTATATTCTCCAGTTTTTTTCGAATCACTTAAATCAAAATCTACACAAATGTTCAGACCCCAAAAAGGAAACGATACTCTTTTAAATTTCGGGCTCAGTGGAATTCGCAACTACTATTACAAACGAATTCAGAAAAGTTTACGCACATATCACTGTACTCGACAAACACACAAAGGTTTACAGGGTACTGTTGTAAATCAGGCTGTCCTCTCTTTGCTTGAAGGGTCACTTGATATTACACTTACAGTCCCTTTAACGAGAAATGTCAAATTTTAATCTAAACATTTTTTTGAAGCACCGAAACAAATATATAGCTTTTTACCCAAATTCTTCAACCGTTCATGAATGATAAATTTGACGAATGACGTTGTTAAGTTGGCTCTCCGGTGCTCCAGCAACTTTTGTTAGATAATAATTTGACATTCCTTAGAGATTCAAAACGTTACAACACAAATCCGCTAGTCACTTTATAAAGAATAGAAAAGAAAAATATTCAATTTACAACTGAATTTTTTTTTAATCTTTTTTAACACTCAAGTCCCACACATGTATCAAAAACTAACTGTTGAACATTTGTTTCTAAAACAATCTTAACTTTAAATTCATTTTTAAAATAGTCAATTTTCTAAGAGAAGATGTGGATAGGACATACTACTCAATAAATGGAGAGCCACAGTCCTTTTTAATGTCAACTATCTCTATACATAAAAGACCTGTTTTGATATTTAAGTTTCTAGTTTTATGAGAATTTAGAACATTATATTTGCTTTATAGGAGCTGTATTTCCTACCACTGTATTAATACTGATTTAGGTTACCTTCAACAGGGAATATTAGATAACAAAAATAAAAATTCATTCAAAAATCTTAACCCCAAACTTTAAACTACCCTTTTATTAGAAAAACCTAAATTAAAAAAAAAAAATTTTCACAACAAAATCAAAATTAAAATTTTTTATTTTTACTAAACGTTTTACCTTAACATTCCACCAAAATACCGTGGTTGTAATTTCCCTGTATCTTTCAAATAAATATGCAAGAATAAAGTTATAATGCCAAGCAAATAGCTTCTAGTACAATAGATGGCAACGTACAATTTGTACACTCTCAGTACAGCTGTATTCTGACGTCACAAGTGTCAACTTAGTTTTTGTGTCCGACAAAATTATTAATAATAGTGATAATTTAAGAATAAAGTGTTTTTCTTACAGTGAAATAAGTGCACTTTTATGTGTTTTTATTTTCTTATTTTACACTTTTTTATTTCATCTTGGAACACATGTGTAAAAATTTCTTTTTCCTTGTTGTATTTCACACTTGTGACGTCGTGTATAATATGGTCCATTTCTCTGTTTCCACCTATTGTACTTGATAATCTATTTTATGCCAAGTTTTTTATTCCAGAGTAGTGGAGTAAACTGTTCCGTTTCAAAGTTTCAAAGAGTTTTAAAGAGATTCGAAAATTTACAACTATTTTCACGACTGTATCGAATTTGATCTTTTGCCTCTCATTGTGACCGGCCTAGGGCCTAAACATATGTATATAGAATACATATGTATTGTATATGTGTCCTTTAATAATTGACAGTAGGGGTCTGCAATGCATATTCTAAATAATTTATGATACAGCTAGAGCTCTTACTGAAATTAAAGCTAGAGCTAGACCTAGACCTAGAACTAGAACCAAAACTATAAATTAAACCAGAGGTGGGGTTAGAACTAGAACTAGAATTAAAACTAGAGCTATACCTAGACCTAGAACTAGAGCCAAAACTATAAATAAAACCAGAGCTGGAGTTAGAGCTAGAGCTAGACCTAGACCTAGAACTAGAACCAAAACTATAAATTAAACCAGAGCTGGAGTTAGAGCTAGAACTATAATTAAAGCTAGAGCTAGACATAGACCTAGACCTATAACTAGAACCAAAACTATAAACAAAACCAGAGCTGGAGTTAGAGCTAGAACTAGAATTAAAGCTAGAACTAGACCTAGACCTAGACCTAGAACTAGAACTATAAATTAAACCAGAGCTGGAGTTAGAGTTAGAACTAGAATTAAAGCTAAACTAGACCTAGACCTAGACTTATAACTAGAACTATAAATTAAACCAGAGCTGGAGTTAGAGCTAGAACTAGAATTAAAGCTAAATTAGACCTAGACCTAGACCTAGAACTAGAACTATAAATTAAACCAGAGCTGGAGTTAGAGCTAGAACTAGAATTAAAGCTAAACTAGACCTAGACCTAGACCTAGAACTAGAACTATAAATAAAACCAGAGCTGGAGTTAGAGCTAAAACTAGACCTAGACCTGGAACTAGCCAAAATTATAAATCAAACCAGAGCTGGAGTTAGAGCTAGAGCTAGACCTAGACCTAGAACTAGAACCAAAACTATAAATAAAACCAGAGCTGGAGTTAGAGCTAGAGCTAGACCTAGACCTAGAACTAGAACCAAAACTATAAATAAAACCAGAGCTGGAGTTAGAGCTAGAACTAGACCTAGACCTAGAACTAGCCAAAATTATAAATCAAACCAGAGCTGGAGTTAGAGCTAGAACTAGACCTAGAACTAGAACTAGAACTAGAACCAAAACTATAAATAAAACCATAGCTGGAGTTAGAGCTAGAACTAGAATTAAAGCTAGACTAGAGCATGATCTACATTGACATAGCAATAACTTAACGCGTGATTGTTTATAGCTTTAGTTTATATGGAGCAATTTCAGATCGATTTTTGTGTGAGAGCGTGCACATTTTTGTTGATTTTGCGGTGTGCAATCGTTCATCCATTTTTATTAACACATATACGTGCTGTTGTGCTGCAGATCGTGACATTTGATAATCGAGGAATATATTCGCTTATATGCATCAATCTATTGATATTTCAGGAATATATTCGCTTATATGCATCAATCTATTGATATTTCAGGAATATATTCGCTCATATGCATCAATCTATTGATATTTCAGGAATATATTCGTCTATATGCATCAATCTATTGATAGTTTAGGAAGATATTCGCTTATATGCATCAATCTATTGATATTTTAGGAATATATTCGCTTATATGCATCAATCTATTGATATTTCAGGAATATATTCGCTTATATGCACCAATATATTGTTATTTCAGGAATATCTTTGCTCTTTTGCGTCAATCTGTAGATATTTAAGGAATATCTACGCACAATTTGCGTCACATATTCAATATTTTAGAAATATACGCCCATTTGCGTCATATCTATATAATAAAACAAGACATTCGTATATATATATATATGTTGCGTATAGCCTGCCAAACGGCTGGACCGATTTGGCTGAATTTTTTTGTGGACACTCAGGGTGGCCGGGGGTTGTTATAGAGTATAAAAAAATCTAAATTATTTTTTTTTACAAATTTTCTTATTATTTATTTAAATTTTTCTTTCACAGGCAACGCCGGGCCCTTCAGCTAGTATTCAATATACTTTTTTACACACATTTGCATGAAATACTCAATATTTTAGGAATATTTACTCTCCTTTGCGTCACATATTCAATATTTTAGAAATATGTTTACGCCCATTTGCGTCACATACTCAATATTTTAGGAATACTTACGCTCATTTGCGTCACATATTCAATATTTCAGAAATATATTTACACCCAATTGCGTCACATACTCAATATTTTATGAACATTTACGCACATATGCGTCACTCATCTGATATTTTAGGAACATTTACGCACATATATGCATCACATATATTAATACTTCGGAATATTTACGCACATATCCGTCACTCATATGATTGTTTAGGACCATTTACGCACATATGCGTCACTCAACTGATATCCTGAGCACACTGGAGACTGCTAAACCTACAAAGTAAGTACATATTTTTTATACTTTTTATTCAATTGAAATGTTGCTTTATTTTCATATAAATTGTACCAATAATAATAATTAATAGCTTCTTTATGAAAAGATATAGATTGCTTAAAATTACTTTTTAAGTCTTCCAATTTATCTTTTAAACATTATTTTAGAATTTTTCTCACTTTTATTTGCTTCAAGGTTTATAACATTTTCCCCGCGACATCTTATACGCAAGGGCTGGGCAAAGTTCCGTTAACGAATCGAGGTTTTCGAAAATCAACGGAAGAGGGGGTTAAAGAACGGCAAAAACTGTTTAAATCATTAACGAAAAGGATTAGCCGTTTTTAAAAAAAATTTACGGTTAGAAATATTACCTAAAAAGCTAAAAACGATGTCATCTTCTGTGTTTATAAACCGTTTACGGCCAGGGGCGGCACTAGCCAGGGGCATAAAATAACATTTTTTGTCGTTAACGCCGTTAATACTGTAATATACTGTTAACGGCCGTGTCGTTGACCGTTAACGAAATTTTTGTAATAACGGTACCATTAACAGCTATTAGTCGTTAACATTTGCTAAACATTTTCTGTTAACGCCGCTAATAAAATTGAGATCGTTAACTAACGGTAATTAAAAACTGGAAAATGCCGTTAACGAAATAAACGTTACGTTCTTTTACTTTTAAAATTAACGGCTTACTGAAATTTTTCTTTTTTAACGGTTGGAACTAACCGTCAACAAAACGGCTAGAAAAATTTGGAACGTGCCCAGCCCTACGCATTGATACATCTTATATGATTTTTTAAATTTTAACATTTTAAGTTTTATATTTTAAACTGCTTGATATATGCAATTTGTTTCAGATCAAGAATAGATCTAATTGAAGAACATTTACATTTGGGTAATTATATTTTATTTTATATTATATTTTCAATCAGTTTCATATTTTCATAGCTAATATAAACTGAATAAAATCATCTTAACATATAGCTAAAGATTTTGAAATTTTGAATTGTTACTTTTTACAAAAGGCAAAATCTCTAGTTTCAAATTGCAAGACTTCAAAAAGAAACGGCTTTTCTTCCACTTGTTATCACTTTAGCTAAAGAGACTCTAAGCGTAATTTCAAGTTACCCTCCGTGTAAAAATGGCAATGCCCGATTCACAACGGTATCCTTGAAAGGTTTGTGGGTTCTCTACAGGAGGAATTATCAGAGATTAACACTTTTAAACCTAGGAAAACGTCACGCACCTCTGCCCCTTTAGTAAAAGTAAATTCACCCTATATGAAGCATAAGGTCTGACAGCGTCAACCTTGTTGCACCGCCTAGTCTTTTCCATAGAGCTAGGTACAGTCAAGGTTATAATGCAAGTTATTTCAGAGGTATACACATTTTTTGTACTTAAGTGAACACAAGACGGATGGCACAGCCTGACATGAATTCCATTTACACAAAAATTAATCTATGAAATATTCTGGTCATAGGAAACTATTATGTGAATTTTCAAAATTGTTAAAATTAAATGCTTTTAACCTCCTCGGACACTAAACGAAGACTGATGCATCTATTCTTGTTTACAAAGTCCGCCCAGAGAGAACTGGTTTCAATATGGACGCAGAGTATACACGACCGCAATTAACTTTCCTTGCATTAGTACCTTGGCTACAGTACAAACTGGGACCGGAAAGGTTGACCCGGCTCGGCCCGTCAATATTCTCCATATTATTGATCAAACTTAGGTTTCAAGCGTAAAATTGTGAATCGGGCAATGCCATTTTTGCATGGTGGGCCAGTGGACACCATGCTGACAGAAAGAAAGAAAGAAAAAATGAAAGAAATAAGCATTAAAAATGTTTGTGTGTGAAATTTTCTGGATTAAAAGAGTTGAAAAGATGAATAAATGAGCTGACTGAATTTTTGGAAAATCTGATAACATAACTTTCGTTGTTACTGGGTTCACCGACTAAACTTAATATCCGATTAAAAAAATTTAATTGGCCACGTGGAATCATTCAGAGTATCAAGAGTCTCTGCAGAGACACCTGGCGTCCAAATAATCGACGTTTTAAGTGCATTGTAAAAATAAAAAATAAAAAATAGTATGAAATATCAACTATATACGAATGCATCGACAATTATTTATGCTCATTCTTTGGTAAGAGTCGTTTCTAACAATTTTTTAGTAATTTCGTTTTTAGAGAACACTCCCTTAAATATCCAATTAAAAACTTTAATTTGCCAATGAGAGATGCGGAAAATTAACAATTACAATTGACAACTCTAAACCGCTGCAGACATCATGGATAATGACCATTTTGATATCGAGTCTGTCATTGATGGAATCTTATCTGAAATAGATAAGTAATCATTCTGTGGCTCAGGTTTAGGTGTTAACAAGGAAGGCAGCTGGCCCAGGGATTTAAGACAAAAGATTTGGCCTCGGTTATTTTAAGTTTAAAATCTCAAACTCATGAGCAATTGTGAATGTCAGCAATGCTTCTATTTTTTAATAAAATAATCCGATTCAAAAATAAAATTCAACAGTTTTAAAAAGTAAATATTTTAAATTTTAAAAATATTTTGAAGTAAAGACAGTAACTACATATGATTGTAGTATCCCATACCAAGTATTTGTTCTTTGTTGAAAATGCAACTTTGAATATTTTGATTATGATTTTTATTTGCACTGAGCTGGGATCTTTAGAATGGGATACCATTAATCCCGACTGCTTAATCCGTATATCCAATGTGGACACTTTTGTTGTCATGCTTAATCCACTCTTTTTTTGGATATAGAACAGAAAAATCAAAAACCGGTTTTTTAAAATTAAGACTCCTTCCCGTTTCTGTATATTAACCTTAAATGGCGCGCAAAATTCGGTTGAATGTTATACACTTTTCAGGATACAAGTACAAGATTAAGTTAGTCTCGAGATCAAGAAAAAGAGACGATTAAGCATTACTCTCGATATCCACCATTCTAAAGTTACCAGCTCTGATTGTCAATTTTCAATGTAATTATATGAACAAAGGTCGGAACTTCTGCATTATGAGCATTAATCGCTAGATACCACACATCCGGTTCTTTTGTTGTCCAAAGGATTAAGTTGCTTCCTATTGGATATCGTTAACAATCAAAAGCGACAACAAATCTGCTCTCGACCAATGAGAGCTCAAGATTATGTAATGCTGATGTTTTCTCTATTCAACTTGAAATTTAGGAAATATTGATGCCGCTACGGATGTTTTAACTCTTCAATCCCATGATATTACTCATATAGTCACCGTAAGTTAATTTTGAAATTTGATCAAATTTATGGTGCCTTCCGGCCACTTATTGCGTAATTGGAATTATTAATTATTATTAATTAATTATCAATTATTGATGCAAAAACTTATAGAGAACATGTTTTTGTTTAGTCTTAGATTTGAATTATCTTATTCAAGATTATTATTAATAACATTCTATAATTGCATTATTTATATTATTATTATTATTATTATTATTATTATTATTATTATTATTATTATTATTATTAACTCCCGTTTCTGTATATAATCTTAAATGGCGCGCAAAATTTCAAATTTATCGGCTTCATATACGCGACTCCGATTGGTTGAATTTTATACACTTATTATTATTATTATTATTATTATTATTATTATTATTATTATTATTATTATTATTATTATTATTATTATTATTATCCCCCTGCCTAGAAAAATAAGTTCCTTGCTACCCAGAATATCCTATATACATATACAGGTATAGTCAAAACCAGAAAACTGAAATAGGAAGACGACTTTTAGGCTAAAGTTATGATTTTTGATAAATCATTCATAATCATTCATAAAAAAATTAACAAACCATTTCTAAATTTCTTTTGTGAAAAAAGCATGCTTAATGCTTATGCTGTATCTCGGCAGTCTTTACATTATGCAGCGAGAACCAGAAAATTCTGAAATACGAAGACGACCTTTAGACTAAAGATTAAACAGACCCATATCACTTTATAAGTGATATAATAACTAACCAGTAAAATGATTTGCTTTGTAACATCAAGTACACTGAAGTTTTGCTAATGTCGTCTTCCTTTTCGGCAGTTTTCTGGTTCTCACTGAATAATTACAATTTTATAATTGGTTGTGTACATGAATAAAGATGAGAAAGAAAACATCCAAAAAAAGACAAATCAAAGTCGGGGCGGGGCGTCTAATGTTGGAATTTGGCTGAAAAGCCTAGACTGTCTCAGCTTTCAAGGGTACTGTTGTGGATCCCATTGAAATTATGTTTACAGCCCTTTTAATAATTCATTGTTGTAAAAAGGTGAAATTGAAATTCAATTTATTTCCCTCTAGGTTACAGATATCCCAAGTGAAGATCTGTTTTCTCACTTTTCACGAGCTATTAAGGTGATTTTACTTAGATTTATTTATTTATTTATTTATCTTTTTATTTATAGATGTTTTCCGTTTTAAAACCTTCAGGGAGTTTTCTTTTTCTCCACCATCAGATGATTTCAATACTTTTCAATTGTTATCTCAATAATTTAGTTTTTACCATAGTATTCAAATTAGGTATAAACCAAAACAATTTGATAATTAATTTATCAATCAGTTTAACAAAAACAATGGGTGTATAGTTTTGCGTTCAGTAAATTGAAGAGGGTTGGATCTGTCTGGTTTATTGTGTCTAGTTTCAGTTTATTAAAGAGGACATGCTGACAGGAACTATATTGGTTCATTTTGTCTAGTTTCAGTTTATTAAAGAGGACATGCAGGCAGGAAATATATTGGTTCATTGTGTCTAGTTTCAGTTTATTAAAGAGGACATGCAGACAGGAAATATATTGGTTCATTGTGTCTAGTTTTAATTAATTAAGGAGGACATGCAGGCAGGAAATATATTGGTTCATTGTGTCTAGTTTCAGTTTATTAAAGAGGACATGCAGACAGGAAATATATTGGTTCATTGTGTCTAGTTTTAATTAATTAAGGAGGACATGTAGGCAGGAAATATATTGGTTCATTGGGTCTAGTTTTAATTAATTAAGGAGGACATGTAGGCAGGAAATATATTGCTTAACATTTTGTCTATTCTTAGTTGATTAAGGAGGACAGGCAAGGAGGAAATGTATTATTTCTACTTTAGTTTATTGAAGAGGGCATGCAGACAGGAAATGTTTTGGTTCATTGCTTCTATGGAAAATCTAGATCAGCAAGCATAATTTGCGCATTCATCATGCAGAAGTACAGGTACGAGTACAGGTACAGGAAGAGGTACAAGTACAGGTACAGGTACAGGTACAAGTTCATGTACAGGTACAGGCACAGGTACAGGTACAGGTACAGGTACAGGTACAGGTACAGGTACAGGTACAGGTAAAAGCTTAATATTTAAAACAAATACATATTTTAGGATTGGTTTTGACCAGGCACTTGAATTTGTTAGGTAAAAATAAGATTTACTATTTGACCCAATCCCCCTTGCTCCTTTTATACATGATCTTGTATTCGATGCATTTTTTGTTGTACTTATAGAATGTAATATCACATTCTTCCAGAATATATAATTTATCAAAAATTACATTTAGTACATCGTGGCAAAAGATCAGAACAAACAAAATAACTTTTTGTACATTGTTATTTATTTTCTAATTCAATTAATTAGAGAACTGAAAGTTTAAAAAAAATGATAATAATTAGTATTTCTTAATAATTTTGCGGGAATTTTCTTTTTTAATTCTTCCAAAAATATAATAAATTTTTTTTTTTGGGGGGGGGGATTGGGTTCATTTAGAAGAGTAAAATTGTGGTTTAAAATGTAAACATGAAATATGTTTTCAAACATTTCCTATATGTAAGAGTATTTGAAAACATAACGATGAAATTTTTGTTTTTACATTTGAGAGATTATTATTTGCTCCCTTTACACATTAACATTTACACTGCAGACACAATTAAGGAAATTGTAAGAATTTAACACTTTTAAAAATAGAAAAACAATGCTATTTGCTCAATAATGTGGTGTATATTGTGAATCCGACATGCAACAATTGAGATTATGCTTACAGACCCTTGTGTTTTCATAGGTCTAAAAGAAGCCTGGTGAACCCTAACCCTGGGTTTAAGGCCCAACTACGTCTCTGGGAATTCTTGAAATATAAAATAGATACGAACAGTGTTAGGTAATTTTAGATGTTAGTTTTACTTTTTCTATTTTTAATTTGTGTTTGAAATTTTTCAGATGATTTCGAATCAATTTTAGACTTATACATTCAAAATTCAAACATTTCAATCTGAGACTTCTGTTTTGGTATCCCTTAACTCATCGTAAAACTTTTTTATTGAAGAATTTTAGATAAATTCATCGGATATCCTAGAAATCCATCCCAAGTTAAAAAACAAATTACTCTAAAAGTTAATCTGCTCTTTTCCCCTCTTTTTGGATTGGCTGTTTGTTTTCTAAAATCGACATTTTAGATACTTCCCTAGATTCAAACGAAAGATTAACAAAAAGAGGAGATCAAACGTTGATTTTGATATTCAGAAATACCAAGTTTTCTGCTCTGAACCATCATATTTTTATATTTTTAGGTATAAAATGTATAGAACGCACATAGTAAGTGAACAAATGAGAAAAGCAAAGGAATGAAGAAACATTTTTTATTTATTTTTTTTTTTGAAATAAAGATATGGTTAGGGGTGCAAAACTAATTTAATTTAGATTTTTTAGAATTAAATTTTAAAATTGTTATTAATCAATTAATCAGATTTTATAATAGTTATTTCTCAATAAATGTGTAAATTAATATTTTCTTGAATTGTAAAGATCTTATCCCGAGAAGTGCTCCTACCTATTCTAGAAAATCCAGGAAAAAGTTGTTTTCATTTTGCGGATTTTTAAGATGTAAAATTATGCTTTTAGTGTCGCATTGAGACAAATTTGATAATTTATACATGTAGTAAAAGATATATCATTGTAAATAAAAGGCAATAGTTAAAACAGTTGTTAAAACAGCATTTTTAAAAGTTGTTAAACATATTTGATTGTTTTCATGTTTATTTTTGCAATTTGAAAAACAACTTTTTTGTGACAAGATATTCGAGATGACCCCTCAGTGCTTTATGCTTGCAAACAGTGCAGGTGCTTTACAGTTTTTGCAGATTTTTCATCTTTAACATTTCTTCTCTGAAAACATTTTTTCAGTTCTTTCTGAGCTGGGAACTTTAGAATGGATCCTTTAATCCCAACTACTTGATCCGAATATCCACTGTAGAAACTTTTAATTATAGTCCTTAATCCACTCTTTTTCTCTTTCTTTGGATATCCGTTCATTGTTTTCTCCAATGAGAGTGCAGAAATATAGTTCGTAAATTGTATTGACCAATGACAGTCTTGAAAACAAATTCTATCCCATGAGAGAAATCCGCGATTTGAACAAATCAAGCATTTGTCGTCGGCCATTTTGTAGATTAATCGGTGAAGAAATATTTTTAATAATACGTTTGAGATTCCTTTTTTAACCAATTTTAATGAATTAATAAATAAATGGGTGAGAAATTGAATGAAGGCCCTTCCAGTCAAGAAAGCGAACAAATCTGGCGTTCCTAGAATTCAATTTGTTGATTTAAATATTTAATCTCGAGATTATGTTAGTCTCGAGATTAGCAAAAAGATTAACCATTAATCCTGATATTCACCTTCTAAAGTTCCCAGCTCTGGTTGTAAAATATTTTTTTTTACAAAATCAACGAAATCAACATCATATTCTTAAATGTTTAATTCTCCCCCAGCCTCTAAATCAGTGAGTAAAAATGTATATAAATAAATTTAGGTATTTTAAATTGATCTCACTATATTTCATATAAAAAAACATATGACTCTGTAGGGGTGATGTAAGTTCAGGTTTTGAAAGCCACAAACTTTGATTTTCTAAATTCAATATCGTTGCAACCCAATGTCGTAGACCTTGAATATTTCAAACTTTGAATTCTGTTAGATCAAATAATGCAAGTTCGAAATATCAAAGGTTTACATCATAAGGTTGCAAAGATATAGGTTTTACAAAAACAAAAACATTATTTATGATTTAGAAAACCTCTTGCAACAAGTTTACATCAATTACCTCATTTACCAGGTATTATTATTATTATTATTATTATTATTATTATTATTATTATTATTATTATTGTTATTATTATTATTATTATTATTATTATTATTATAATTAGTATTATCATTATTATTATTATTATTATTATTGTTATTTTTATTATTATCAAATTAATGTTTATTATCATTTAAATAATTGATTAATTGAGAACTCGTTTTTGTTTATTGTTTATTGTTTTTTTTTACTTAGATAGTTGATTTGAATAATTGATTTATTGATAAACCTTTTTATTGATTATATTACTTAACTTGTTAATTGATTGATTTATTGAGAACCTTTCAGGGGAGAACCCTCACTGGTATAACCCTTTATCTAAAGAAAAAAGGAAAACAATTCGTTATTAATATTTTTTGTTTTAGATACACCTTCCCCCATTTATTAACTGAGATGACCCCTCCTTCATCCCCCGCTTTTCAAAATTTTAAACCTCCTGATTGTTCTGCTATGAAGGGGAAAGTACTGCTCTAAGTCTGTTTACGTATCCCCCCTGGATTGGATGTGTGAAAGTATTAGAAGTACATTATCTGGTAAACTGTACTGTCAGTATTGCAATTCCAGGTTAGAGTTTAATAGAAGTACATTATCTTGTAAACTGTACTGTCAGGTTAATGTATTAGGAATACATTATCTTGTAAACTGTACTGTCAGTACTGCAAATCCAGGTTAGTGTATTAGGAATACATTATCTTGTAAACTGTACTGTCAGTACTGCAAATCCAGGTTTGTGTATTAGGAATACATTATCTTGTAAACTGTACTGTAAGCACTGCAGATCCAGGTTAGTGTATTAGGAATACATTATCTGGTAAACTGTACTGTCAGTACTGCAGATCCAGGTTTGTGTATTAGGAATACATTATCTTGTAAACTGTACTGTCAGTACTGCAAATTCAGGTTGGTGTACGTTAAAATGTAAACAAACCCTGCCCCCTGATTTTTTTTCTATTCTTATAGTTGTACACTGTAAACTAGGTACATGTTTAGGATAGGGCAGTACAGTTGGGTTCTAGGATTGGACTGTACATGTGGTGCTAGTGTTTCTCCAGCTTTTAAACTTGATATGACCGCCATTACATTCAACACACCTGATAAACATCTACAGGTGATCAATTTCATTTAATAATTAGATCTCTTGGAAATTGATTAAAAGTTTGTTACTTCCCTTAAGCTATTTTCACTTTTAAAACATTTTGACTTTTTGATCTAAAATGAAGTTTTCTTGAAAAAAATTAATTTTGGCTTTAACCTTTGACTTAAAAAAAGATAAATATTCATTTACAATTGATTAGAAGATTTGTTTCCAAATAATAATTTAACCACAACTTTGAACTTACATAATTTTGAGAGGCCTCTCGAAAGCCTGCAGACAACCTTTTAATTTATAAAACAGATCCCATTGATTTATATCTAAACGAAATTCAGCTGTTTTGACCACGTGGCAGTAGTATGACGACCTTTGTTTAGAATATCCCGCGGCAACCTGTGTTGGTCTGACTAACCCTTGCCTTGGCTCTTCTTCAGCAATCACACACTCAACACACGCTCAGAAATAAAATCAAGCATTAGAGTTTTCAATCTTAGAGATCAAAGATGGCATTTATAGCGCTGGGCGACGTTATCGCAGCATGGATAGCTTTTTTTCTGATTAAAGGGACTGTAAGCTTAAGTATGAATTAGATATCAATATTTTTAATTTTGAAAACTGATCATTTCAATAGTTGGTTCTAAGTGACTTGCATTTTTACCTGAGAAAAGCATAAAGGAAATACCGGAACTAAACACACGTTTCAAGCTTTTCCACATTATTGATCAGGAAAAGGACCAAGGTTTCAATTTTGAATCAAGCATCAAATGCCATCTTTTCATGGAGGGTCAATTGACATTTTCCTTACATCCCTTTAACGAACTGGATATCCCATTAACTGCTTGAGGTGATCAATGTTTCATTGACAATGTTTTGAAAAATAAAGGATGCTCATGTCAATAGACGAATAGAATAAGTTAAAAACAAATGGTTACATAAATCACTAATCCGTAACATAAATTTCAATTAACTCTAATGTAATAACGGATAGGAAAAAAGTTAATGACCGGCCCCAGCCCTTCTGACTGCTCTAAATGTTATCTATAGAAAGTTATTGCAAGAAAGCCAAGGCACAGAATAATTTTGTTTTTTAAATAAATAGAAATTGTTAAAAGAAATTGAATTATGTGATGTAAAACAAAATGATAAAATGAAAATTAGGTTCTCTAATTTTTATGTTTTTGCTGTGTAAAAAAAATGTTTTGTTTTTTATTTACAAGTCAAGGGACTGTTAAAGTACAATGAAAGGGTATATAGGCTAAATCCTAATTAATTTTAGGAGTTCGTGACCAATATTAGTTTTATATGATGTCCCTGTCTACTCGATATAAAACTGTGTTCAGGTTATACCAAAAGTCATATTTACGTGACATGGTATTGGAATCAAAGTTTAAACAGATCTGATAACTTTAGAATGAGATATCTTTAATTCCAATTACTAAATCTGAGTATCCAATGGACACACTTTTGATTTTCTTCTTAAACCGAATTTCTAGAATATAGTAGAGAAAAATCAAAAACCGGTTTTTTTAATTTAGAGAGTCACTCCCGTTTCTGTATATAATCTTAAATGGCGCGCAAAATTTCAAATTTATCGGCTTCATATACGCGACTCCGATTGGTTGAATTTTATACACTTTTCAGGATACAAGTTCAAGATTAGGTTAGTCTCGATATGAAGAAAAAGAGAGGATCAAGTATTAATCTCAATATCCACCATTCTAAAGTTTTCAGCTCTGATCATATTCAGTAAATACGGAACACATCTGATAATTGCGATTCCCCAGCAGTGCCTAGAAATCTTAGGTATGCTCTTCTAAACATTTGAATGTTACAATCTTACATTTTTAGGTTACCTTTAAAATTATACGTTAAACAATTATTCAATTATACAATTATGACAATTTTTTGGTAGCTAGGTGTCTCTGCCTACTAAAATCCTTGAAATATTGGGAGCAGACTCTAGTGCTGGGCAAAGTTTCATTATAACGAAATGGAGGTCTTCGAAAATTAACAGAAGAGCTTGTTAACTAACGACAAAAACTATTAATTTCTAAATTGTTAACGAAACGGATAAGTTGTTTTTGAAAAAAATAACGGTTATAAACAAAACGAAAAAGACTTTTTTGTTTTTATCTGCTGAAAATGGCGTGAAACTTGTAAAAACACATTTTTACCTGCTATGATGTTTTAAAATGTCGTCTTCTGTGTTCACAACCATTAACGGTTTCATGAACCATTAATTATGTAATAACGGTACCATTAACAGCTAGAGCCATTAATGGTTGTTGAAAATTTTCCGTTAACGCTTTTAATAAAATTCAGATCGTTAACTAACGGAAACTTTTTAAAATACCGCTAAGTTTCCTTCTTACCCTCTAAAACTAACGGCTACCTGAGATGTTATTTTTAAAACGGTTGGAAATAACCGTTAACAAAACAGCTTAAAAAAGTTTGAACTTGCCCAGCCCTATAAAAGACACCCTTGCAGTTAAAAAAATTGTCAACAAAAGTACAATGTATACTTTTTAAGGTAACCTAAAAATTAGATTTATAACATTCAAATTATTATAGGAGCGTATTTAAAATTTCTAGGCGCCTCTGGGTTATCGTTATTTTCCGATTCGTATTTGTTGAATATGATCTATTTTAACTTTGATTTTAATACCATCACATATTTTGTCACGATTAACTCCCAAAAATTTTAAGGCTTCAGCCTATACCCCCCTTTTATTTTACCTTAACCTTTAACCTTTAAATTTATTTCGAAATCTTTCATTGAAATCAAATAAAAAAGTTGAATTAAATTTACTATTCTAATTAATCCTACTGTGATGAAAAATGGAAAAATAATTGGGAATTCAACAGTCTGAATTATATATTAAAGTTTATGATTATGAAAACTGATCATTTGTGGATTTTTTATAATAGTGATTATGCAGATTTCTGCCACAGAGACAATGTAGGAAAATTGTTAGAATTGAACACAACAACAAAACTACAAGTTAAAAACCAGTAAAAGTTGTACCGGTGTAACTCGGGCATGATCCTCAACAGTTTTTTCTTTTTAAAAAAGCATTTGTATTTGTTTGTAAAAAGATATATTAGACGTTATAAAAAGTACTATTTTATATAAAAATATACAATTTTACAGTGTACTTATGTTTTATATTTATGATGGAATAAGATGCAATGAACTCATTCCCAGATTTGAACTGGTCATTTTCTGCACCCGGGGCTTTTCATGTTTTCCATTAAGAACCCATATATTGAATGAGGAAAAGTCAATTAAATATGATTTTCTACATTATCTTGAAGAGAATGCTTTTATCTTACCGCACGGGCAGCCGTAGAACATTTGAATTTCCGAGCCGGGTCAACCTTTCTGGTCCCAGATTTACTGTACCTAGCTCTATGGACAGAACTAGCCGGTACAACAAAGTTGACGCAGTCAGACTTTATGCTTTATATAGGTTGAATTTACTCTTACTAAAGGGGGCAGATTTGCGTGACAGTCCTACAGGAATGCAGAGGAAGTATAATCCATCATTGAAAGACATTTTATAGATTAAAAAATCATAGACATTGTAAAGACACAATAATCTTCCTGAATCATTTGGTGTACTGTCCTGTTTTGCCTAAAATGATCCAATTTATGTTGTACAGCTTGTTCTGGATGCTAAAAAGTCACAACGGCACTCAAAAATTCATTTTGATAGAAAGATAATTCGTCTATGAAGTAATCTGTCTCTGAAATATACTGCTGTTAACCATTAACATTAAGACCTCTGGGTAATGTCGTCTTCAACTTAAATCTCCTCTCGGAGAAAACCAAACCAAATAATTTCAGCCCGCATTCTCTTTGTACTCCGTCCCACGGAGCTTAAAACATTTTCGTTTATTGTGAAATCATTAAAGATAAGCAAGAATATTTTCATATAAAGCATTTGTGAATTTCGTTAAATATTCAACTGTAATTTTTTTCAGAAGTTTAAAAACGTATTTCAATACTGATCAACAATAAGTTTCCCCTCTATCATACCTAAATAAATCGTAAGATTTTTTCTATTATTAATGTTCATTATAACATTGTACAAGTAACCATGACCTGTAATTTATGTTATTTTTTAGGAAATTAAGCTTTTGTTATCGATTTCCTTGAGACGGGGGTTACTCTGTTGTGTGTATTTGCGGCCAACCGGGAAAGAATTGTCCGGGGAAAATAAATATCCCCCACCAGAATTCCGACGGGCCTATTGTTCAAGTTTATCTAGTGTGTTGCTGTTATCTGTCAACAACTGCCTATTAAGTGTTCTAAAGTAAGACCAACAAAACTCAGGAATAGGAAGACGACTTTTAGACTCAAGGTGGAGCTTATTAAGTGAAATGGGTCTGTTTACATTGGACACATGCTCTGCCTCGTGTTCATTGGACTATTTAATGAAATACATTGAGTCTAAAAGTCGATTTCCTATTCCAGAGTTTTCTGGTTATCACTGTAGTAAAGTTCATTTAAAAGTAAAATATACTTGAGAAAAAGATTTTTTCACAAAATAAACGTTTCGTGGGACACCCTGTAGCAGACAAAAATCCTACGGATTACAGTTTCCTACATAGTAGGTATCATATAACCAAGATATAGGTATCACTATATTAAACCAAAGAATTGTTTGTACACAAAACACATATTTTCTTTATTGTTTCTCAAATAAAGATTTAAAAGATACCAATGTGAATCGGACACGCCACTTTTTAAATCGAGGATCATTTGAAACTCGACACTCTGTCTCAGTCTGTAGTCCCAAGAACGTCTATCTTTGATGGTGTATCTTTCGATCTACGCAAATCCGCTATACTCCACTTCTGACCTACAACAAATCTGCTATACTACACACACGACCTACTAGCACGTGGTTTTACAGCTGCTAGATGGACTTGTGGCCGCAGCGCCCAGCCCAGTAGCCTATCATAGCCGAGGTTCTCGAGGCCCCATAGCCTGGTCTAGCTGCAGCGATCGGCTCAGAAATTGTCTTAACCTAACCTAACCCTCAAATTATTTCAAAAATAAACAGCTGAAGTAGGTTCTATATTGCAGTAGGTCCGAAAGTTAGTAGGTCAGAAGTTCAGTAGGGAGGTTGTTGCGCATGGACGAACATTACCCTATTTTTTGAGGATGAATCTACCGTTTAAGACGACATTTAGTTTTATTGTGGTTAACATAAACAAATTCCTACAGGCTTTGGTATATTCTAGCTCCTCAACTTCTGTCGCTAATAACTTTAAAAGTTTTTGACTTACAGCTTCGACAATTTAGTTTCTAATTCTTGGAGTGTGTACCTACCTTCCTACCTGCTAAATTTTAAAGTTGTACCTCAAAGCAATGCTCAAAATGGGAGCTAGAATCTTAATGCCCATCGAAAATGTGTGAGAACCCGTGTGAACTTAAACTAAATCAGAGAAATTTTTTTTGAAAAAACTTTGCTACCCATTACTCCTCCATGATACCCTTTAACTTATAATATTCACCTCTTTCAAAAATCCTTCAGGGTTGTTCAAATTTCTTAAATATTAGAATTGCTCTGATTGCCTTCGTTTCTTTTCAAAAGGCTTAATTTTTTTTGAGATTTTAAATCTTAAATAGATATTTATATACAAATCTGATAAAGTGGGCGGAGCGCTATGGCCACACCCACTTTTTATTAACAGATTTTTAAGAAACAAGATGCACATGTGTTCTTTTACATGATACAACTCAATCCCTCTCGTTAATACATGAGGCATAGATCTATTCAGTTCTGTAATACGGTACCAATCCAGGCATATACTTCCATATTCTCAGGTATCTATGTTTCAAGATTCAACTCAATTACAAACTCAAGGTTGCTCAATAATCTCAGGTATCTATCTTACAAGATACTTTACATGATACAACTCAATCGCAAACTCCAGGTCGCTCAATAATCTCAGGTTTCTGTCTTACAAGATACTTTACATAATACAACTCAATCGCAAACTCCAGGTTGCTCAATAATATCAGGTTATGTCTTACAAGATACTTTACATGATACAACTCAATCGCAAAGTCCAGGTCGCTCAATAATCTCTATTGCCTCTTCCTCCATT